TGGCATGCATTCACTTGTATGTAATCACATAATACCGTGGGATAGCGTAAAAATATTAAAAAGTTACATAGTTAGGTGGTGAGATAAGTCACTTACTGAATGTGATTATGTACTTCATAAAGAAGTTTATGGAATGCATAAATCTTAGAAAGAGGTGTAGAATCAAAAGGATTATAATAAGTAATTAAGATATTAAGCAACAAGATTAGAAATTCAGTAAGACAGTATTGCAAAATATTATACTGAAATAAATAGACGAAGGGTGACAAGGGATAATACCGAAAGTTATTCAAGGTAGAAATAATAATAGTAACAATCAAAATAATAAAGGACGTGAGGAGAGATTCCGTAAATAAAGTAGAAATGGGGGCTATAGTAATTTAGCATAGATCGATTATGACTACGAAAGGAATGGTTGAGCAAACTTCGGTATACACAGCTCTGGCATTTTTATTTGGATGACCAAATTTACAGCAAGATAGATGAGTCGGACACATAATGGTTTCCGAAGGTTATTTTTCAGCTTATCAACATCTTTAAAGGAAGAGACTGTAGAGATAAGGAGACCAGATATTTATTCATTGCGCTTATTATAGCTTCACTTCCACCTGTTGCTAACCACTCAGGATAGTGTTCTCGTACCCTTTTGGACTAAAGCTGAGTCGAACGACCTCTATGCCTAGCTCCACAAAATCAGGTGATTTAGTAAACACACAGAGTTGGTAAACTGTGGGTTCTTCTCCTTCAGATGATTGAACAGTAATGTTAGAGTGGAAAGCATTATTCGCTAAAGTGCTTCAGAGAATATCCGGCAAAGTTAAACTTTCGACACCACTAACAACCAATCAGCAAACGACCTCGAACGGACCAATCACATTAAAGAGGCATATATGATGAATGGAAATGTATATTTATAGAAAAAAAGCATAAAATGGATAATAAAAAAGGTTACATGGGATATCTTTCTCAAACATGTGAGAGAAAAATCTCCCAGTTTAGCATGGGACTGTCAATGGAGAAGTTACACCATATCCTGTACATATATTCATCCAAATGACTATAAATGAGATCCTTTTGATATACATTTATAGCCCTTAACCTATTTTCCAACCTGCCCCAAAATCCTTCATTAGAATTTGTATGTGTCCTCATAACGGGATCCACAAAATCACTTGAATGGTTGTCTCTATGATGAATATATCCCAGAGATGACAGCGAACTGTAGCCTTTCCGTGTGTATAACTGACCCCCGCTTAACAATTCTGGTAACAATAGGTATAAGAGTAGTTGCTTTTCTATCTGCTATCCTTAGGGAGAGAAGCGACCTAGCGAAAAAAGTTCCTACGAAATAATAAAATTATCAGCATACCCTCTGTAGTGTTAGTAGGCTTCAAACATATAGCACAACCATGAACAAACCCATCAGTTGATTTGGTATAGCTTTTTAAAGTCATGATACCACCACACAATCAAATTCGTTCTTTCCGGAGCAACTCAAATCTAGGAAATACTGGAAAACACTAACCTCCTCGAATTGCGACAATAGCCTTGTAAGGTCACGCATTAGAAATGAATCAAGCGCCATACAACATTGAACTGCGTTCGTGAACCTCATTGGATAATTCGCTGATTGGTAGTTAGTGGTGTCGAAAGTTTAACTTCGCCGAATATCCTTCCTTTTAGGATATCGGAAGCTAGGTCATCTTTGAATTCAAAACTAATATGTGGTATTTTCTTAGATACAGACGTAAAATCACTTTTCACAGCTTTTATTTGTAAAATTTTTATCTATAAAACCTAGTGGATACCCATTTCGTATCAAAATTTTTCTTGAAAGATTTAATTCTTCCTGCGCTAAGGGAAAATTAAATAATATAAACAAGATCTGATGTGATTATGATCAATGAACTGTGTTCTGTACATCAATCAGTAAATGAATGAAATGCATCATCGCTTATTTTACCAAACAAAATCAGTTTATTATGGAATTATACTTCATTATAATGCCTAAATTCTACTCTTCTATATATGGCCATTTATATTTAAAATAGCATTGTTTCTATCGTAGAAACAGATAAGATTTTAATTAGCACAAGTCATTTGAGTTTTCCTTCTTAGCTCAATCTAGACTTATTTTCGTCACAATTATAAGATGGCTAGACAAGATTAAATCTTATAAAACATAAACAAATATTTTTAAGAAATGGAATCTTATATTACCATTCAGTCAATCAAATTGCTATACTACACTTCTCTTCATTGAACAGAAAATAATAAAAGTAGGGAGTGAAAATGATGTAATTAAAGGTACAATGGAGATAAAACATACGTAGCTTCTGAATGCATTTGCGCCACTACCACCAGTTTGTAATGTTGTTCCATCGACCGCTCTGCCCCAGTCTAGAAATGTACATTTCGTTTCACTGCAGCGACTACAGTTAGTAACTCCATGATCTGATACAATCAGTTGGTTTGCCACAGTTGGTTTCCCTAAGGTCAGGGGATGAGTTTATATGAGCAATAAATATTACAGATAACTAAAATGTTGAAGAATACTAAATTTATCAGCTCTCCTACTTGTTATTATAAAGCCTCTTTGATAAGAAGTCTGGCGAATGTCTGAATAGAATTACTGCAAAAGAAAAGGTAGTCGCAGTATATTGAACTAATTTAATAGGAAATCAAAAATGAAACTGCCTCCTAATGAAATTATTAATGAGATCAAGAAGAATGGATCTAGGTCTACGTCGTGGAAACTGTTTATCGACGCGCGACTATTTGGAATCCAGATAGTAGACTCCAGTTATGAGGCTGAATAAATGTATTCCTTCAATCTTGATATGTCTCGACGACTTCAATAGTGTTCTGTAAGAATTAAATGTGTTAGCTGAAGTTATAGTAAATGCGTTTGGATGAGAAAATCTATTGATGTGCATTTGACAATATGAACTAATTGTTGAACACTAGAGAAGGTCGACTTTCAGGAGAAGCGAAACGAAAGACCAGTTGTTTGGTCATGATGAGTTATTTGGTTGTCAGAGATGTTAACAATATTTAGCAGTATTCATTATCAGCTGGGATGGTCGAGCGGTTAAGGCGGTGGACTTAAGATCCCCTGGAGTGTATCTCCGCGTGGGTTCGAACCCACTCCCAGCATTGTCTTCGCGTTAGCACACATTACAAGGAAACTCCAGCTAGAAGTGACAATAACCGGCATTCTTACATTCGATCATGGTATATATCAAACGAACGTGCAGAGAAGGTGTAGTGGTTATTTTCTTCGATGTTTAGTAGGATTCGTACTTTCATAGACAGTTTTAAAGAATGGTTTGATAAAGTGTGAAGACTACCAAATGATTCAGGTCGTCGAATTGAGATAGTGATGGGGTTATAATGGGTGTTTTTGAGGAAGTAGAGGCAAAATTAAAGAATAAACACCCAACAGGCGGAAACTCACCGATGACCTTGGGATGTTCACTCAGAATACAGCAGTGATATCAAGTTAAATAACATTGCACTTATAAAAAGAGTATTGATTGATGCATGAAGATATTTAAGATGACATCCGGTTAGTTCAGTGTTTATGTTGACATAAGAAAACGAATCTGCTCTACAGAACATTTTTGTAGGTCATCAGATATATAGAGACAGGTATTATTGGGAGCGCGGATTACTTAATCGTCTCTGCATGTTCGTTTGATATATACCATGATCGAATGTAAGAATGCCGGCTATTGTCACTTCTAGCTGGAGTTTCCTTGTAATGTGTGCTATAGCAAAGACAATGCCAGGAATGGGTTCGAACCCACTCGGAGATTCACTCCAGGGGATCTTAAGTCCACCGCCTTAACCACTCGACCATCCCAGCTGATGATGATTACTGCTAAATATTGTTAACATCTCTGGCAACCAAATAACTCATTATGACCAAACAACTGGTCTTTCGTTTCGCTTCTCCTGAAAGTCGACCTTCTGTAGTGTTTAACAATTAGTTCATATTGTCAAATGCACATCAATAGATTTTCTCATCCAAACGCATTTACTATAACTTTAGTTTACACATTTAATTCTTACAGAACACTATTGAAGTCGTCGAGACATATCAAGATTGAAGGAATACATTTATTCAGCCTCATAACTGGAGTCTACGGCCAGGTTAGACTATAACCACCACTAATTCTCAATAAAGTGCGACCGCACCAATTACCCACTGGTGCCCTTGCCCACTCTGCAAGTTAGTGAAACCTGGTAAATAATGTCATATGACAACATTGATGATATCATCAATAAAAAATGCTCTTCGAAGTGTTTTGTCATTTAATGGGAAATCTGGCAGGTTCCAGCTTAGGTTTGGGAAAGATTAAGTTACGGTTTAAGCCAAGAAAAGGCGACATTAGGGTTGGTTTGAGTTAGATTACATGTAGTTTAGGGATATTTTCACATTAGGGTTAGGTTCAGGAAAGAATAGGGTTATTGTTGGGGTTCGAATAACTATATAATCACATGCATGGAATGTGGTTAAATTAATCTGTTGATAGCACCTGTGCACTGTGGTAGAGTATGATTCCATTGTGGGTAAAATTTATTTTGATAAAGTCTCCCAGTAATATTTACTGATGACCACGTTTCGAGCACAATTTATCGCTCGGTGAATATTACTGTATAAGCACTATGAAGATGTTATCTAGAAGGACGACGAAAGCTCCAGCTCAGAGAACACTAATATTTGCAAACTATGAAACTTTATCAAAATAAATTTTACCCACAATGGAATTATACTGTGTTGATACTCCAACTTAAAACTGAGAGCTATTTTTATCACATGTGAGAGGAAGGTATCCTCTGTAACAAATATAACACTTCTGTTCTAGATTCATGCGTTTGTCTCTTTGGTCTATCTGCGAATGTTTATTCACCTACTTAACAAGCTGATGATTCGCCAACTTAAAATTCTCGACTCATTATTCTTGTTATCGCATTGCTTTTATGTTTATTTATAGGCACAGATGAAGCTACAATTATTAATATACTGGCTCGTAGAACGAATTATGAACGTCAAGAAATTTGCCAGTCATTCATGAGTATGTATAAAAAGGTATGTTTTTATTACAAATAGAGTAAAACTTGGTCATAGCCCGTGTTTAATACTCAAAGACACATTGGCACGTTTATTAACGTGATTGATGTTTGACTATTGTTTACGAAAATTCTAAATTGCGTCCGTCTGAGTAACTTATACTAGATGGGATGTTCAGTGGCATTCGTCATTTAATCGACGATTTGCTTATATACACTATTAGCCTGCCTTAACTTCTACGCCAAAACAAATTTACCTCCCTTTTGTTTCTGCCTACTTAAGTGGGTAGAACAGTCACTGTCATTTACGAATTGAATTTCTTCAGATTGTCGGTGTTATATGACATTGTTTTACATGCTCCAAAGAATGCTGTAATCATATCAGATATTACGTTTGGCTGTTTTCAACGTGATTTATCAAATTTTTTTACACAGCCGAAATATCTGTTGTGGTGTTTGATATGCTCGAATACCCCTTGAGAGTACTTCTGTCCTCACCCTACGATTTTATCGCATTCACCTACTTTTGTAGCCAGTTTCATCTACTCTACTTAGAAATATTATCCCCTGTACTATATGTTTAGAGGCTGACGGTATAGACGTTCGCGAGCAGTACTGGGTATATTAACGCAAGCTCTTATACCAACAACTTCTAATGTATTTGAATCTCGCGTACCAAAAGGCAAAGCAAAAGACAGTATTTGATCGTCCAAATTACGCGATATATTTCGGAACCAAAACGAGTTGTTAGACGAACGCTTAACTGGCTAGTGATCGTGCACGAATGTGACACGACGGAGTACCAAATGGCGGGGATGCTTGACCGAAAGCCTTCAGCCAAACAAGTCGACTTAAACTCTAAGGGTCAGCATCCAATGTTCACTGATGATTCCTCTGGTCAATAATTTTGGGGAATTATTTACCGCTGCATATGTTTTTATCTAATTTTACCTACACATATATACACACGACTATTTAAACACAAAACCCCACATTTTAGGGCTTTTGTTTGTACATATTAGGCTCAGATTTTGACTGAATCACAATATGTCATTCATACTGACCCCAAAATCCCTTTGAATTCAAAACCCTGAAATATTTCATTTTTACAGTATAACTTCATACTAACAATGATGTCACAAAAACGCTTACTTTGAAGTGAATTCGAAGATCATTTGTATTTCAACATGATTAATCCTAAAACAATTTATTACTATCATGATTGTTATTTGAGCTCATAAACCATTCCTATGAAAATACTTTTGTGTAACTGATAAACTGAAAAGGAGGTTATCGAAAGAAATATAAACTTTATTCAGCATTCTGTGTGTGTGTTTCACCTGTCACGTGTATCGTCAGACATATTTTCCATCCCTCAGTAAAAGTTAACCTCTGATTATCTAACTAGATGAGATTTTTCTACACACCTGTTTATCCATTTTCTTAGAATTAAGGTCAAATCACAGACTGACATCAGTTACAGAGCCGCTAGAGACAAGGTATTACTGGATAGCTGCTTCATGCTAATTCGAGACCCTTCAGAAGTACACACTCATGATCCTACGAAGGATTTTTGTTACAGGTCCTTACGAATGATGGATGTATTATTGACACTCAGTATTTACTAGTTAGTAGATAAAATCTACTGGGATGCATTTTTCTTTAAAGCTACAGCTGAAGAGTAGCACAAAGACAGTTTAAATCGTATAGAGATTACGAGTTTTACAAGAGCTATAAATGAGTGTTGCAACTGATACAGGCTGTCACAAAAGCACTTGAAGTGTAGAAGAAATGGAATCTCCCCTCAACTAGTGCGAAGTACGCGAAGACAGATGAGCTTCTGTGAATGCAGAGATATTGTGGAATTGTACTATAATTCTACAGACCCTTAATATCAATGATAGTTGACCTAGTAGTTGAAGATACCAAAAATCTGACAGATAAACGTCCCTTACAGGGTAGATTACCACATGGTATGATAAGGCAAATATGCATAAATTCGAAAGAATTGATTTCTTCAAAAAAGTGTAGGTAGACGTGCAAGTTAGCATTCCTGGAAATACATACTGAAGAACTGTCTGAGATACAGACTTGTGTAAGCAATGAATAGACCATAAATAGCCTCAAACTAGTTATCTGTAACATAATAAATTGTTGGGAAACATTTTGTTTCTTTGAAATAAGAGCGAATATTTATTGCACAAACTGAGGATAGAAACTGCTTAGTATTTTCTAGACCTAAGTAACTGAATGTAACTGCCCATACATACTGAGAAAAAAATGAAGTATAATGTCTTATTTACAGATGATATCCGGCAAGCACAGCAAATTGTTTAGCCAATTGTTTAGTATTCTGGAGGGATAATCTTTTTAGTTGATTATGTAAATTACATCTGCTTCATCTTTCTTTGGTAATGGATCTTTCAGGTTGCACTTTAATGATTTCATTGGTTCGCATGTCACTCACTCTAATGGTGAAAGGTGGGTAGTCTTTGAGATTCCTTTGATATAGGTTCTGATAATCTATATTTTAAGCTAAGGCAACTGTGTTGTCATTCCCTCGGTCAGTAACACTTTATGATAAAGTTTTGAGAACATATTGAATATATCGTTTTCCATACAACTTAGTGTTTTTGTGCCATCATGGATTTTGACTCCTTAGAGAAACGTCAACACACAATATTTCACATGTAAGCTATTGAATAGCTGCTATTGCTTAAAACTCGATCTATGAGGCAAATTGTTTGCCGTATCTCATCCTTAATTCTGCCTACAAAGAAATTTAGGAGGAAAATCTCAGTCTGTCCTTATTCATTCCTTAATTGAATTACCCCTAATAAGCGATGAATGAGATTGAAGCAATCAGAACTCCTGTTGTTTCCAAAGTTGTCCAATCCTCATTCTTGAAGATGATAAATAAATGAATAACCGAATCAGTAGATTCAACCAATCACAGTTTCGTAATGGTACTTTTGAGAAGTTTTCAGGAAATTTAAATGAACTTCTTTAAATATTCCTATTTATAATATTAGAACAAGAAATATAAGCGAACAATCTTGATTTCAATAAGATCTTCTTCAGGCCTTACTCTAATTTACACAGATTTATGTATAACAATTTTTCACCAATGACAGTGATTTTGTGGATCAAATAATAATAATGTGGTAAATGTTTTGAACGAAATTAATAACGATTATATATGTTCAAACCAAGTCCACTTTTAACGGTTTGAAAAAATTTGAGCATTGGGTATATGGTATTCATTATAATAGAGGTTTTTGTATTTCCCAATGAATGAAAAACAAAACGATATTGTTTTTACTGACGTTTCGCTATTTAATGATAATAGCTTTCTCAAAGTATTATTAAACCGGAATTTACAAAATCTCAGCATATATATTCCGGTTTAATAATACTTTGAGAAAGCTATTATCATTAAATAGCGAAATGTCAGTAAAAACAATATCGTTTTGTTTTTCATTCATTGGGAAATACAAAAACCTCTATTATAATGAAATTAATAACGAAGATTATAATGATAACAAAATATTGATAATAAGGTTTATCCGCGTGATTTTCCATCTCCTTCGTACTTTTATGATATTTATTTAAACTCTGATTATATGTCCACTTCAACTTTTAAGATTTGACCTAATTTATTTATTTTATTTACATATACACATATACATTTACTACCTTTGTTATTCTTATCACCTGCATAAACCTTATTATCAATATTTTGTTATCATTATAATCATCGTTATTAATTTCGTTCAAGACATTTACCACATTATTATTATTATTATTTGATCCACAAAATCACCGTCATTGTTTAAAAGTTTTTTTATATAGAAATCTATGTAAAGCCTGAAGATCTAATTGAAAACACTATTGTTCGCTTTTATGTCTAGTTTTAAATGAATGTGTTAATTATTCAAATTATTACTCTATTCTCTTTTGGAAGGATCTTAAAGATGAATTAAAATCAGAGACAAGTGGTGATTTTCGCAAGGTATTGTGCCAATTGGTTGTGGATACGCCGTATATGTTAGCTAAATCGCTGTATTATGCCATGAAAGGTTTGGGTACAAATGATCGCGTTCTAATCGAAATATTAACTACCCTGTGGAATGATGAAATAAGAGCTGTAGCTGAAGCTTATAAAAAAGGTGAGTTTATTCATGGTTACCGGTAATTGCTTTAATATATCAAATTGGAGGTCAGCTTTATTAAATTGATCAAAGTTGGAATGAGTTTGCGGAGACAGATACATAATGCGGCTCTATCAAGAAAAACTCATAACCCTAACCTGTGTTTATAGTCTGTCTGTCTGGATTCAACATAGAACTTGTCACCGAAGTGCAGAAGTTCGAGTTGCCACGTTCCAAATAGCACACAGAGGTAGACAAGAAGATGAGTGAAGAGAATCAATAGAGTTTGACAAGTATAAGAGTGAAACAGAATGGGTAATGGTAGAAAGGAATATGAAAGATTACAGAGACTGAATACATCTGCACTGGCCATTGACAACGATTTTGAGCCATGTCACCTATTGTCTCCAGCCATTGATTCCTAGAGTCCCGAGGCCCCCAACCCAGGAGTCTGCATCTCCCTACCTGACTCAGTTTAACTGTCGAGGATTTCATAGATTGATGCCATGTTTTTGTTTGGCCACCACTGGCTCTTTTCCAGCCTGCACCTATATCAGCTAGCAATGCCCAGTCGGGGGAGGCGGTGGTTAGGCATGCGCACCACGTGACCTAGCCATCTTAGTCTATGTAACTTTATAGCCTCGTCGATTGATTTTCCCTCTTTGCCCAACACTCTACGCCTAACGTCAACATTACTTATCTTGTGAAACCACCTAACGTGAGACAGAGATCGCAGACATCTATGATCGAAAGCAGTCAACCTTTTCATGTCTTCAACGCGTATTGGCCATGTTTCAGAGCCATAGACAAGGACGGAGCGAACTGCTGAGCAGTACACACGTCCCTTGGTTGATAACCGGATGTCACGCCTACGCCAGAGATGGTGTAAGTCAGCGAAAGCAGCTCGAGCTTTTTGGATCCGTGCTGAGATTTCATCGCCAATCAGTCCGTTGGTGCTAATACAACTTCCCAAATAGGTGGAGTGTACAACATGTTCCATCACTTTGTGTTTATAGACAGATGAAGGTCCTCAGGACCTCAAAAATAACTGGGGCTTAGCTGTACATAAGCAAGGTGTGTCATTTATACATCCCCCCAAGACTAATGAGATAGCTGCTTTAGTGCACAAGAACGTTTTTGTTATTTCCAATGTTTTCTAAGTTTACAGTCGGATGGTGCTCAGTTACTCTCAATAAAGCATGCTAATTAGTCTATTGTAAAGCGTAATTTGAGTGATCTGCGGTGCATGCAACATGAAAGTGATGACATCAGTATTAATTTTTTCATAATTTTACTCTTAACTTTCTGATAAATGCCAAAAGGAATAAAAATTAGAATAAACTTTACCTGATTGTAGTTTCCAGTCGCCCATCAATAAATGTAGGACGAAGTGAAGTAACGTTTCAGCATCCACATCGCCAAAGTGAATACAGGACTTGAAGAGTAACTGTAACTAAATAACACAATGTCCTTTATTATCTATACAATGAACAATAAAATTATCAATGTAAGGATACTTACTATCTCAGTTAGATGCATTTGTGCTTCACCTTCTTTTACACCTACTTTTTTAGGCTATGAGTTGTATGCTACTTACTATTATTAAGTAATATATGTCATACTCCATTATTTTTACTCTTTTTGTGAAGTGTTCATTTTTGTTTCAGTTACACATTCGTGTAACAGATTAGATTGTCTCCTTTGCTTACTTTCCTACCAAATTGTAACATTTTCCGTTTGTTTAACGCATTATTAATTGCAGCCTTGTTTACTATTGACTGCACCCTAATACTTTTGTTTCTGGGATTTTTATCTTGTATACAATTGGTGGATGGTGGCTAGCAGTGGAATCCATGATGCGCATTTCGTCCTATTTGGGACTCGTCAACTGGATGTACCTGCATTTCTCAGTGAGTGATGATGTTCCTACCGAGGCTCGAACCCAGAGCCCATAGTTTCAAACACCAAAGCCTTATCCACTAGACGACTTGGGCCACGAGAGCCACCTCTTGTGCAACGAGTCATATTAATTATTGAGTTGAATTTTTTGACTTTCCCGTCGATTGATTAGACCGAAGTGCTCGGTCTCAGGTTGACATGTCGGCATCTTGTCCTTAAATATATTTCTTCAACCATTTTCACGATAATGCAGCAAACATCCAAATGTTTCAGCATCTTCATTAAATTTAAGTTATGCTAACTATTGAAATAACATACTCCTGACAAAATCCATTCTTTGGATTCCGGAATTTTATATGCCATTTTAAACACTTGGTTTAGATTTACACAAGCCGTATTTAAACCATATTAGTTTGTTTATCAGATGTATCACACAGTGAAGCAGTATTATTAACTGGATAACGTTTCGAACAAAATTTATTGTTCATAATCATATCAACTGTAATCACACGACTTTGAAACTCGAGTTTTATAGTCTTCTTTGTTTTCTCCTATTTGTCATAGGGTAGTAGAATTTTACAGATATCAGGGACAGGTGATGAATCATTCCTATTACATGTATTTGCAGTTGATTCGATAAACAAAGCTTCTGTTATCAATCTCTCCCTCCATCCTGTGACATTAGATTTTAAAACTGTCATCCCATCCCATCCTACTGTATGGTTGTGTGTGATTGCATGTAATGCATTGGCTGAACTATTCTCTAGATTTCTCATCTTATTTGGGTTAACCGATGTAGATTTTGCCAGGTCTTTCTGTTCAGCTAGTCTGACTGCCCCTGTTCTACTAGTTTGACCTATGTATTTGACCCGACAATCATTGTGGGTAGGGTATTAGATAATCTAAATTGTCTTGTTTTAAAGGCTCCACAAGATGCTTTAACCGACAAAGCTTGTTTCTAATTGAGTTTGTGGGTTTGAATGCCAACCACTTTTATTCCTGCCTTGTTAAGAATTCTGCGTAAGGCTTCTAAGGTTCCTTCCTTGTATGGAATTACTGTTGATGATTTAGATTCCTTATTGTTGGTGTCGTCATTAATATTTATTTAAACCACTAAATTAAAATTCTCCAAAAGAAAACTGAAGTCTCGTTGATGTTGCATTTTTTTTATGACATTTTGATAAGTACTGAAGTTCAATCAGGAAGCTTCCTTCAATAACGAGCGATTTTCCAGTATTCAGACATCACTGCCAGATTTTTGACTTAACCTGATAACCAAATCCGAATTTTGTTTTGAATATTGACACTATTAAATTGGGCGTATTTAGTTAAACTTAGAACTTCTCTGTTGACTTCGCTTCATCCTTTAGGATGCTATTGTTAAAACTGAATCTAAGCTGCACTACTTATTGTTTAGAATGAAGGGCTATTATTTGTTGTTAGATTTTTCACATACTTGATTTACAGTACTGTTGCTAATGTATTATATATATATTTTCAAGTATTGCTTTTTGTAGGGATTTTGTTTGATTGCATGGAGGATTTAATCATGAGCTGACATCAGTTAGAGAACCACTGGAAAACCTGGGAGTACTGGACAGCCGTTTCGTCCTAGTTTGGGACTCCTCAGCAGTACGCACCCACCGGGATTCGAACCCAGGACCTTCTGGTTACAAGGCGAGCTCGTAGACCATTGAGCCACTGGGACCCGATCCAATGGTCCTTGAATTCTAACTTCTGCCAGTTCACGACATAGCGCGACCACTTCGCAATGTCTTCTTCGATGAGTTACTGCCTCATCTTCGACCTGCTGTACCCTACTGGTCACGGCTTCCCACTAGAACCCCAGGTTAACTGCCTGAATAGAACCAGTCACTAGTGAGCATCAGATGAATTTTCAAGTATTGCTTTTTGTAGGGATTTTGTTTGATTGCATGGAGGATTTAATCATGAGCTAACCTGGGGTTCTAGTGGGAAGCCGTGACCAGTAGGGTACAGCAGGTCGAAGATGAGGCAGTAACTCATCGAAGAAGACATTGCGAAGTGGTCGCGCTATGTCGTGAACTGGCAGAAGTTAGAATTCAAGGACCATTGGATCGGGTCCCAGTGGCTCAATGGTCTACGAGCTCGCCTTGTAACCAGAAGGTCCTGGGTTCGAATCCCGGTGGGTGCGTACTGCTGAGGAGTCCCAAACTAGGACGAAACGGCTGTCCAGTACTCCCAGGTTTTCCAGTGGTTCTCTAACTGATGTCAGCTCATGATTATATATATATATATATATATAACTTTCTACATACGGACTCATAATCAGTGTAATTTCTACTTTTTGATTTTAGTTCTTAAAGATAAAGGAAGTGAAGGTGAGTTCTGTTTATTCTTATTCTCTATCTTGCTCTTAGTTAGTGGTTAAGAGTTATTGTTAGTTTAAAACGTATCTAATTTTATAACTATGGACTTTGAAAGACTTTCAAATTTACTTTGTAGAACTAATTAACAAATAAGAAAATATATGGTCAACATATCAGGCACTGACTTTACTTGAATACAGTATCTGATTCTGGAGGTCTAAGGATATAATAGCAGTGCGTTCTACTGGAAATTCTTTATTGTGTTACTCTTGATTACATTGAATACTGATATAGACTATTCTGTGATGGGTTTATTCCCTTGATCTCAAATTAACTGGTTCATTGACAGACTATGAAGTTCTCTTGCTGTTGTATAAACTGTCTAGGATTAATCTCATTTCAGCAAACTAAATTAGGGCATATAGATAATATAGTCTTTCTACGTGATTGAATGGAGTTATATATTACTTCATTAACTTGTTATAGTATATTAGCGATATAGAATCCATATTTACTAGACAATGAGTGACCGTTTGAGAATGTTTTGCATTTTCTTAACCTTTTCCAAGTGTATTCTATTATCTGTTGTTAATAGTACCGGACACTGTCCATACATGGGACGTAGTGTCAACAGTGAATGGCTGGTGAGGGATGTACAAAGACACACTTAATTTTTTTTCACGCTGTTCAAGTGGGAAATCCTTTTATCCAACAAAGGTTAAGCGCAACAGTTGTCTCTGTCTTATTCTAAGGATAGTAAACAGCTTCATTGTCAGTAGATTATAGAAAAATGGAATTAGTTGACCTCTGATGTCTACTATATTGTAAATATGGTAGGGATTACATGTGAAACAGAGGAATTAGATAGTGAAATAACTGATACCAGTTTTATATATTCCTAGCTACAACTCATCACACTCTAAAGTAGTTTCTGGAGTACAATTAGAGTAAAATAAAACAAAGACGAATTTAGACCAAGATTCAGCATCATTTCATGAATTCATTGTTTGTTGACATGTGACATGCAGGGAGGGGTGGATTAGTACTTTAGTTGTCTCAAGAGTTCCAGACCGATGATTTTATAATCTAGATTGTCATTCTGGGAAATCAACCTAAAGGTGCTAGAATGCCCTATAATAACGATTGACTTGTTTGTCCACCTTTCAGTCATGTTCACCTCATTTAAAAAAATATATACACCACTGACCATATTTTTTGGGCTGGTTTAAAGGTTAAAGATTTAACCAACATCTGTCTGGTTCTATTAGTCATTTTAAATCTTTAGATGAAAGTGTGAACTAGTTCCTTTGTGTTTCTGTTAGCAAAATATTGTTTGTTATATCAAAAAGATGTATTAGATGGTTGGAGGCAATCTGCAGGAAGCCTTGGATCTAGATGAATTCATAATTAATAGACGTTAAACTGAGGCTAATTGGGTAAGACCTCCTCTAACTAACAGGATCTTAGGAGGAAGATAACATGAATACTCCAATCCCTCAAGAATAGCACAATGCATGAGGTCACTTAACAATATTTGTAAGTCGCATTTTATGCTACTCTTATTAGTCCATTGAACATTTTTGTCCTTTACCTATTTAAATAAAGCCACTGATCGTTCATTAGTCACTGATATGAAGAAAGAAACCTGTGGAGACTATGAGTATGCTCTACTTAGTTTAGTTCAAGCTGAACGAGATGATGTACAAGTGCTTCAATTGAAAAGCATACCTGAGAAAGGTGTTCAGTCTATTACTAATCGAGATTTGGCTGAAGCCGATGCCAAAGAGCTGTACGCATGTGGAGCTGGGTAAGTTTAATTTCTCTTTTTGTCTTCTTCTTGGCTTAACAGATATTTATATTCTTTTGAAGATAAATATTTCTTTATCATATTCATTTTATGAATGGAAGAAGAATGATTCTCTGAAATCTGCATATTTCAAATTTGATTGGTCACTCAATGTTGTCTCTTTATGATTGGCTAGTTTTTGCCTGTTTTTCTTTGAGCCGAAGGTTTTAAGTAATAGTATGAACATGTATATTGAAAATTGCTTTGCCAAATCATAGAGCATTGTGATGAAAGACAATGTTTGAACTTTCCACTCTAGTTCTTTGAGTATTTACCGTTAGGCTACTAGAAGTTTATGAAGTTACAATTATGACAGATGCTTACCAAATGGTAATCAATATAGGCGGTCTAGTCTTTAGTGTGTTGGTTGGAATCTATCCATTAAGTGTGCATATGTTCACTAGGCTGTTTGACACTATACTGTAGAGTACTGCAAATTTCACCAATATATAAGAAGTTAGCAGACTGTAGGCCCTGAACCTAGATTTCGTTTATTTTTCATTTTGAGTGCAAAACAAGGCTTCAGGCTCTTAAGTCATAGTGGACGTGTTGTTATTCTTTTTACGGGACGAGGTTGATGGCCTCATAACCAACCTTTTCTCTTCTCTGGGCTTACTACCAGCCAATAAACTAGGCGAGATCTAGGAAGATCAGATCCAGAGATCGCACCGGTACCGTCGTCGTGGCTAGCGATTATTCTCCCCGTGAACCACCCACACAAAGGCAGACTTTGTGCTTGTTACCACTCACTGAGTAGATGTGCTGTCAATAAGTTTAGTCACTATATCGCATACCTCATCGATGGGCTTTAGTTAACAGTTTCAGGATTACGCAGATAAGTTTGTTTTCATGTGACAATCATTTAGGATACATGATTCAACCTTGGCAGTCAGTACAGTTTATAACGACAAAGAGGATGTGGATTTCTTGAAACTCACACACAACTCGCTGCTGATGGTAAAATGCACTAGGCCTATATCAAAATTAATCTGGTGATTTGATACTCCTCATATCTAAAGTTAAACTTATAACTCTCAAATCTAAACATTTTTTATTCACTGACATCGCACAGACTCAGCTAAGAAACTCCAGGTGTGACGAAGCCTATGTTATGTGTTTTAATGCAGTCAGAAGTGTAAATCTGGAGGCTAATGCTTTCCAAACCCTGTCAGTTTGTAATATCATTCAAAATTGTTTCAGGACTGACTGTTCTTAGCTTGAATACTGAATTGGACTATGCACAGAGACCAGTGAACAATTCCAAACAAGGAATATCGAACTGTCGGTAGTTTTTTATGGTTCTCTAGCTAATGTTGCTTAGCGACGTAATCCGTCTCGATGTTATTCACATTTCCATAAACTTATTAATTTCATGAGAAATATTTTAAATTCAGTATTTTCCAATTCTTTCTTTTCTGTAGTCGAATGGGTACTAATGAAAGACGTATTACACGAATCATATGCAATAGAACGCCGTATCAATTATATTTAACCTCGGAAGTCTATTCAAGTGTAAGTTGTGTTACTCACATTATAATTATATAGATTTGGTCACCTTAAGTTCCTTTTTATAAAATGTTCATATTCCAGCTGACACCCAGCATCAATGTATTGATGGATAAACATGAGTATCCGTCGTCTTACGGTACTGGATGATGATAACCAACATGTTTATTGACTACCTTGACTCCTTTCATCTCACTATATGCAGCTAAATTCCTAATGAAAACAAAACACGTAGTTCAGTGAAGTCTCTTTTCGGCGAATTCATTTTCTTAGCTGTACAATCGCAAATATATATGCATTGTTTTGTATGTATGTGTACATTAAGTTTATCAAACAAAAATACAATTGGTTATGGTTATTTTAACTAAACAGGTGAAGACTGGTTTTCGGAGTCACGTAATACAAAATCAGTCAAAAAAATTAGGTGTTAATGGAATCAGGGTAGTAACAAAGGTGATGAGTTGTCATAAACACTTGTTGAAAGAGAAGTTATGTAATAATATGAATAGTTTGATGATTGAGTTTTACTCAAGGTACACATAGAAACAAAGAAGAGAATACGAAGTTATGTAAGAGTTCTAAATGAATAGAAGAATTATAAGCAATTAAAGAATAGGCAAACAAACGAAATTAAGTGATCAAAATCAACAAAGTTGTTACCATGACAGTAGAAGTGGTTGAATAATTCTCTTTTGTATGCACAGCTCCGGTTTTTCTATGTGAATGGCCAGAGCTTCAGCGATACAAAGAAGACGAAACCGTACTGCCTTTGGTAGGTTATTCGTGACTCTGTAGATTACTTTGAAGGAGGCGTTTGTTGAGATGGAATGATCAGTGTTAACCAGGTGTTCAATTGTCGAGCTCCTTACTGCACCACTATTGCCTTTCCACAACCATGCTCGATAGTGTTCTTGAATCCTCTTGGACAGGGTTCACCTTCTTCTGTGGAGCCAGGTACATCGGTCGTTCGACGCGCACCCTGTCCAAGGGGATTCAAGAACACTATCGAGCATGGTTGTGGAAAGGCAATAGTGGTGCAGTAAGGAGCTCGACAATTGAACACCTGGTTAACACTGATCATTCCATCTCAACAAACGCCTCCTTCAAAGTAATCTACAGAGTCACGAATAACCTACCAAAGGCAGTACGGTTTCGTCTTCTTTGTATCGCTGAAGCTCTGGCCATTCACATAGAAAAACCGGAGCTGTGCATACAAAAGAGAATTATTCAACCACTTCTACTGTCATGGTAACAACTTTGTTGATTTTGATCACTTAATTTCGTTTGTTTGCCTATTCTTTAATTGCTTATAATTCTTCTATTCATTTAGAACTCTTACATAACTTCGTATTCTCTTCTTTGTTTCTATGTGTACCTTGAGTAAAACTCAATCATCAAACTATTCATATTATTACATAACTTCTCTTTCAACAAGTGTTTATGACAACTCATCACCTTTGTTACTACCCTGATTCCATTAACACCTAATTTTTTTGACTGATTTTGTATTACGTGACTCCGAAAACCAGTCTTCACCTGTTTAGTTAAAATAACCATAACCAATTGTATTTTTGTTTGATAAACTTAATGTACACACACATACAAAACAACCATATATATTTGCGATTGTACAGCTAAGAAAATGAATTCACCGAAAAGAGACTTCACTGAACTACGTGTTTTGTTTTAATTAATGCCTGGATGGGGATTATCCATAAATCCTTAATTACTAATTTGATGATTACACCAGATATAAGCAGCGCAATAAAAGCAACGTAGATGAAATACCTCTAGTCCTTATACCTGGAACATTTTTAATCTTCTTTATTTCACAATCGTATTACATGTGGCCATATCACTGTTCAGTACACTTGGTCATTAGTAAACATTCGAGATATTATGAGCTGGAGAATGTTGATTGGGTCGTTTATATTTGTGTTACATTGAATGCCGAAATTCATAAGTCTTAAGGAATGAAAAAACACTGAAATGTATGTAAGAATAAAAGGAGAAGGAGAAAAGATGATATATAAATGAACAAATGAATTTCAATGTTTGAAGAATACTCAGTACTATCACAGTTGGGGATGCCAGCAGTCAAGAAAATTAGCTATCGTGTAAGGAATATTACCCCAAACCACCTAAAGTTAATTAAAAGCAAATCATCATTTAAATTACTTATTGCAAACTCGGTCAGTCGACTTCGATTAGCACTTTGGAATCAACAATGAAAAACTGGCTAATTTTCTTATGATGAATCAATTTATGAGTTGATCTGCTCAGCGAAAGAAACCAAACAAACAAATGAGACTGTGTTGCAAGTGAGTTGTAAATGTCCAAGAGAGGTGGGGGTCAACCAAGAGATATTATTAAGCCAAATTTTCCAACACTGTTTATCCACGACTCACGGAGTTTGAATCAAGAACAGTTAGATTATGAAGTGGTTGAAATGCAACGGTCACTAATTTTTCTAACATATGTGAACGAACAGTTTCTTCCACACGCCAGTGAAAAGTTGTAATCAGTCATGTGTACCGATCTGAGTGTAAGAACACCTACTGATGACATTGGATGGATGAGGCTGAAAAAATGTGCAACTGCTTTCTGATCCAGTAGCTGAATAGCGACCAGTTAGCCTTTTAATTTCAAAGTCAGGGGCTCAGTCTCGCGACACTATGTTTGGGCACTGCATTATAGATTTTAGGATCCTTTATTTTTAGTGGTTCTCTACAATCGATTTATAAAGAAATCTATCGTGAAATCATTTGACTTCGGAAGCTCCGGTAAACATCGTCCAACATTATTTCTCAGCGGAGTAATCTAGGAAAACATTTTTGAAGATATAAAAAGATGTTATCCTGAAATTACTGTAAGTTATCGGTATACCATCAAGAATCTTGAGAAATTCGAATGTGTGAGCATTACACATTATGTTAAACCAGAAGTTTGATTTAGTTCTTTGGGCCATGTAGTAGTTAACTAAATGTACTATAATCATTAAGAGATATAATCAGAATAAGACCTAATATGACCCAGTCTTCACTAGTTGATGAGTAGCCCTCAGCCAGGAAAAATAACCTGATTTAAACGGTTCAGATTCATACAAGATGCTTCATAGATTGGTGTCATATCTTGGTCTGATAATCCTCAATTATCTTTTTGCACTTCGTCTTATTCAAGATGAAAAAAGTTACCAACAGATTTATTGACAAACTTTCCCCGCTGTCATTACAAAAATATATCAACAATCAAACCCAAAAGTTATAAATATGCTTTTTGAAACCGGGATAGTCAACTCTATGGCGACAAAACGATTGCTATGGTACCCTCATTTTAAAATTTATTCCACTCATTTTCTAGATGTATGGTAAAACACTTCTGGAACATATTGAAGCAGAAACATCTGGAGATTATCGTAAACTATTAACATCTATTTGTAAGTAATAAAAGTAATTTTAACATTATTGCAATTATCTAATATACTTCATTTATATTAAAAACTACGAAGAAACAAGGTATTTTTGAATCAGACCGCTATGCTGAAGGTAAAATTACAGAATTTTGGAAAGGCAACAGAATTTCCTATAAGAAATTAAACTTCAAATGTTTACAGATCACATAATCTGATGTGGACTTGAAGCCCAGTTTATTTAGAGAACCGAGAATCCTCATATTACTGTATACGATATTTTCGCTATGCCTTAAAGTTTCCGTAGCTATTGGGTCGATTTTCCGACACAGAGTCGCTAGCCCAACGTCCGACCCTCTCTCTTTTTCTGGGCTTAGGACCTTTGCTTAATACTGAAGGTCAGATGTTCAGAAAGGGCTACCAATAGGGAACTCTGGGAACGAACCACCCAAGAACCCATTGCCCAACAAACATTCCGAAAGAAATGGAGATAGATGGGACACACATTGAGGAGGCCCCTGAATAACATTGAGCGTAAGCTTATAGCTCGAGTGGAACCGCATGGGAAAAGGAGAGTTGGGCATAACTCCAATGGTGGCACGGAGGAGACCATGTGAAGAGATGAGAGCTTATAGGCAGTCGTGTAGCCAGATGAAGAGTACCGGATGAAATGAAAATGTATAGCTGAAGCACTGTTCCACCCGGAACCCAAGAGAATAATAGTGATACAGTGTATGATCCCCTTGTAATCATATATAGCATCGCACAACAAACTTTGCATTCTAGAATGATTAGTGTGTGCGTTTTTTGCTCTCTTCTTGTTCTTTTATTAGTGAGATATGCAACCGATCGACCTGCTTTGATTGCTGAATGGCTTTATGATGCAATGGCTGGTTTAGGAACAAAGGATTATGCATTAATGAGGCTGTTAATTACACGCTCAGAGGTAAGTTGACAGCGAATAACGCTGGTTCTTCCTTATTTTTATTATTGCCAGACATATATATATATATATATATATACAGAGCTGTTATGCTAAAACAGATTTTTGTAGTAGTCTAAACTGTTGCTTTCGAGCTTTCCAAATTTTCGTCCTACCGTAGATCACCCATATGGTGATAAAAACTCTGAATTCATCACTGACTACAAGGTTGTCAACATGTCTTGTTGATAAACTAGGTTAAATCTCTCTAGCTAGTATGTTAGGCATTTCGATACGGTCCTACAGTATTTCTGAGTTAGTGAAGAATGGACTGATTTCATTACAAACTGTTGTCAACATCAGGAAATCTAGGGATCGCAAACCAGTAAAATTATATCACCCTAGTCTGGGAGTTCTTACCGACTCCAGAGCAGTCAAGCTTCCGGAAATCAGTCAACACACGAGTTTTTATCATGGGATGGTTATAATAAGAGAACTAGTGAAATAATCGTATGGGCACTTGACCTTATTCAGCCTTTGACTCTCAATCTTCAGGATTAGTTTTCATGTTAGATATTGGAGGTCTATTTCCCGCTATTATTAGTCAAGACCAGTACTGAATCGGAGATTTCTCAGCTTGGAGAAAACCAACGGTTTCGGGTTTTCATTGGTCATTCTTCCCGACCTTATTTGGTAACGAAATACATTAAAGAACCAAGCAATTCCTTAAATAAATTGATACACAGGAACCGCATAATTTTTGTTACTGACATTGGTCTTTCGGTGTTTCCAAGACCTTATGAAGTGACCATATATTTAATTCCAATATGATTCTCGTCACCAAAGGATACCAACCATAAAAGAGTAAGAGATGAAGGAGCGCTGAATAGCTACAACCTCAGCTTCCACGCTCCTATTCTTGACAAAACTAACACCTCTTGAAGGATACACTGGCACTCAGTCATTAATGTCTTTCAAGAAAGAATAAGTGAGCGCCTTTTCTGTGCAGACTTAAAAAAGAATTAATCATTAAAATACTCTTGTGTGTTCTTAACATTCCTGAATGTCTACTTGCACTAATGTCCACAGTTTTCTCTCTTGTAAAGATTGATCTTCAGGATATAATGGATGCTTATCAAGTTATTTACGGCAAATCTTTGTTGGATGCTGTAAAAGACGATACATCTGGTGACTACCGTAGAACTTTATCCGCTCTACTCGGTGAGACAGTTGGTCAACAGTAATACAACCATAATAACAAGACTGCTGTCGCCACTGCTTAAAATAACATTCATTTTAATTTTTTATTTATTATAACTATTCACCAGCTTCAAATTTAAATGAATTCTGATCATTTAAAATAATATCTTGTTTGTCATTACACAATACAACAATACTTCAGTAAATTGTACTGCCTATATTTAATTTAAAATGCTTTTAATTAAGACAGAGTTTACTGGAAGCCTTTGACAGGTATTTCACCTCAATTTGGAAAACTTGCGACACCATTTGGGACTAAGACACGAACAGTCAGAGGCCGTTATAAGAATGGAGACACTCAGTAACTGAACTGGAACCCAGTGGTCATTTGTTTTTCTAATTCGATCGATTTTAGATATTATGAGTGACTAATGACACAACTGACCTGACTAGCTGCTTACATTAAATCGATGGAGGTCACTGTAAACTGAGTCGTCCTTGGCAGACTGATTTTTACAAACACGAAGCTGAAATGGTAGTTTGAAGACTGCCTCCTGAAATATTGCAGTGGCTCTCAACTTTTAAAGCATAAGTTATTGGTTCCCAATCCAATAGCATAATAACAAGCAACTTACCTCAGTCTGCAGCTTTAAACTCGATACCTATAGGCTTCGTGAGTCTGATGAACCCCGAAATGGAATAAAAATACATTAAATGTTCCTCAGTCACTTATCATCCTGTAACTAGTGTGTGTTCATGACAAAGTACACTCTAAGACCATTATTAGAAATATTTTGCGACTTGTCTCCTTGGTGCAAACTGGTAAATTGATGTCAAAGATAAAATTGATTCAATCAGTTACTGTCTTAATGAAGTTTCTTTAAAATATGAAATACATGTTGGTATGCCGAGGGTTTCACAGCCATATTCTAAATGAGGTCACAAATGGGAACTAGTGAAGAAACACAAACTAAAGTATAGTAGCCATGCAATACTTGATGTGTGGTGATATCCACATTAATGTAACTTTGTTTCAACCATCAGTTCTGTTGACTTCACACACACCTTACTGAATGGTTTATTTCGACTATCTAAAGTGCTGTCATTTCTTTCCGAATCACCTAGCGACAGTTCAAACGGTGAAAATGCAACCTCTACTTAGAAGACAATAGTAGCGTTAGTGCCCAAATACTTGTAACTTCGTGTCGATGAACTATACGTAAAACATCTCACTATCACAAGTGAATAAGAAACAGCCCTAACACATTCAAAACTATGCTTAAGTGATCTATGTATTGAAATGCAGCATATAAAAGAAGAAAGGCAACATGAGATGCTGTGCATTCGAATATGTTGATTCACTACTCTACATCGAAATATTGTTACTTATGTTACTCAGCGACCAATTGTATTTACATACAGTTGGAAATGAACCGCATCTATTATGCGAGCTGGTCATACTATTCAAGACTGCCCAAACCTCGGTTTGTGATGCGAGGTTCGGGTCCGTGACCCCCTGGTTCGGAGTTAAGCGCCCAAACCAATGAGCCTTTAACAAAAATACCGCTTCTATATCGCAACTGTAAAAACGTATGAAAGAGATTATTTTTAGACAGAAAAAACATGTTTGTTCCTGGTACACTTTTTTGAGACCATGTTACAAATGGGAAGAATTCATTTGACCATTCGACATGACGAAACTGTTTTGAATAAAAAGAGGCAGATTTTGGTAAGCCAGTGAGTGTGACAGATAAACAACACCGTAAATAACTTGTAAAAGTTAGCTGACTCAGTAATTGGAACAAGAACGAATCTCAGTGAGATTCGGAAGAATTAAAGAATAGAATTGTAACAGACAGTAAGGTGTTGGTTTGTAGGGATTTGATTGGTTACAGGATTTCATCATGAGCTGACATTAGTTAGAGGACCGTTGGAAAACCTGGGACAGATGTTTCGTTATAGTTTGGGACTCTTCAGCAGCAAAGTGGTCTGCAATCAACTCCATGAATTTGTGTACCAATTTATCCAATTTTGTGGTCGACACATCTAGGGAAACCTTGGACAGTTTTATGTGTGCGCAGAATTATTATTTTGTTAGGTCGTATATTTCTCCTCTTGTGATTTTGTCTTAATAAATACACCAGTAAGGGATGTAGGAGTTAGTAACAAGTTATTACATAATCAAGTAATCAACAAATTTGTAGAATAATGACGCCTCTGATTGGAACATTTGATTACACGTGTTATGAATCGATAAAGCAAGGTACAGAGACTGTTATTCTTGTGTCTTCCCTAAGGAGACTTCTTTTAAGGTCCAAAATAAACGTAAATTTTCTGTTCAATAAAGAAATGCATAGACAGTCAGACAGTGTTGCTATGGGATCACTACTAAGCCAAATCTTTTTCCTGGAGAAACTAGAGAGTGGTCCTCTTAAAGATGCAACATATAAACTTAGTTTCTATTGCCGATATATCGATGATGCGTTTATAGTTATGAGGAAAGAAAGTGAGGCAAAGGAAAAACTAGAGAAATTCAATAAAGCTCATCCTGTCATAAGTTTTACCAAAGAAGAAGGAAATGATTCTGTCTTATTTTTGATGTCCCACTGACAAAACAACAGACTGAACAATACGTAGACGATTGTATAGGAAACCTACATCAACTGGACAATATACTTTCTGAGTTTCATGCCTCTATAATACAAACGTGATTTGGTTAGCCGTCTGGTTCACCGGGCTAGAGTTATTTGTCCAAATGAAACACTAAACGAATAACTCGGCAATAGTCGCGATCTAATAAGTAAAAATGAATATTCGACAAAATTTTTGAACGAACACATGAACCCAGCAATTAAAGAGCCAAAGGTACCCACAGTTCCCAAAAAATTAGTGTTCATAAGTCTGCGATTCACAGATATTAATAATAAGATTTTATCACGTCTGAGGAGGGCTTTCAAAAGGACTTTCAACGCGGCTAGGTTATGCCGTATATACACTAGCCAACCAATATTCAGTGCATTTACCAGTGACATTGGGTGTACGATCAAGCAAGATTATAGTCGAATTTCTGAACACTTCCCATCTTGGTTTGGCAAAGTTCCGAATAAAACTATACCCAACTCAATACTAGCTTATCTCATCGATACTGGACATCAGGTTGAGTAATTAAGCCTTTCGCAGGGTGTACGATTACGAGTTTTACATACAGCAGAGGCAATCGGAATATAACTGAACAAGCTAAATGCATGTGTTCAAATGAAATTTGTACAGCTCCTTTCTTTGCCATATTATTATTGTTATTGCTCCCTTGGGTTCCTAGTGGAACATAGGGCTACAACTGCACGTCTCCATTTGCTTCTGTCTTCTGCTGTACTTTTCGCCTGCATCCATGTTAGTCCATATTCTTTCAACTCCTCTTCACACGATCTCCTCCATGTCACCCTTGGACGTCCCACACGCCGCTTCCCTTTCGGGTTCCACTCGAGGGCTTGATGCGCGATGTCACCCAGGGGTCTCCTCAGCGAGTGTCCGATCCATCTCCACTTTCTCCTGCATATTTGTTGGGCGATTGGTTCTTGCTTTGTTTGTTCCCATAATTCCTTGTTGGTGATTCTTTCCGGCCATCTGATCTTCAGTATAGAGCGAAGACAGTTGTTAATAAAGGTCTGCAACCTTTTGGAAATATTCTTTGTGACCCGCCAAGTTTCTGATCCGTATAGAAGAACTGACTTGACGTTTGTATTGAAAATCCGACCGAATTTTGTTGTTGATGCTGAGTGACGAAGATTTCCAGATTGATTTCAGGTTGATGAATGTGTTTCTCGCCTTCCCGATTCTCGATTTGACATCCTCGTCCGCTCTTCCTGTAGTTGAGACAATGCTCCCTAGATAAGTGAATGAAGTAACCTCTTTCAAATCCCTCCCGTTGATGGTGATTGACGTTGGATGTTGTTGCTGTTGTTGGTTGGTTATTTTCATAACCTCCGTCTTGTCTATGTTCACCTGGAGTCCTGTCTTCCTGTCTGCTTCTTCGACCAGTTTGTCGGTTTTCGCTTGTAAGTCTTCGATTGTGTGTGACATCAAACATAAATCATCCGCGAAATCCAGGTCTTCTAGGTTCTTCACGTCTGTCCAGGATATTCCTGTCTTCTCGTTTCCCACTGTCTGACGCATAATCCAGTCCACCACAATTAGGAATATCATTGGTGATAGTAAGCACCCTTGTCTGACTCCTGTGTTTACTCCAAACGCCTTGCTGAGTTTTCCGTTGTGGATCACTTGACATGTGCCGTTGTCGTACAGCTGTTGAATAAGGTTGATGAATATTTGGGGTACGCCATAGTACTCGAGTAATTTCCAAATTACTTCACGGTCAACGCTGTCGAAGGCCTTCTCAAAGTCTATAAAGTTGAGGTAGAGGTTTGATTGCCATTCCATGCTTTGTTCGATGATGATGCGTAGAGTTGCAATTTGGTCAGTACATGATTTGCCTTTCCTGAATCCAGCTTGTTCTGGTCGGAGTTCTGTCTCCAGTGCGTCCTTTAATCTCTCCAGGATGATGCGACTCAGGATTTTACTTGGCGTCGATAGGAGCATGATTCCTCGCCAGTTCTTGCAGAGTGAGGCGTAAGTCGCCCTTCTTTGGTAGTTTCACGAGGTAACCTTTCCTCCAGTCAGTAGGCACCTTTCCCTCCTTCCAGACCTTTTGCAATAATGGAGTCAGCATGTCTGCTGTAGTCTCTGGGTCCGCTTTCAGTGCTTCAGGGGGTATTCCATCTGGTCCGGCTGCTTTTCCAGCTTTCAGAAGCTTGATTGCGTTCAAGACTTCAGCTCTCGTTGGAGGATTGGTGTCAACTTGCAGTTGTGTGCGCGCTGTTGTTGGTATTTCTGGACGGGTTGCAGGTGATGGTCGGTTCAAGAGTCCTTTGAAGTGATCCGCCCATTGTTTAATCTGTTTTTCTTCCTTGGTAATTGGGTTCCCTTGGCTGTCTTTTATAGGTTTCGCTTGTGTTGATCTCTTCCCGGATAGAGATTTGGTTATCTGATATAGTGTCCTCAGGTCCCTTTTGCCTGCTGCCTTCTCAGCTTCAGTGGCCAGGTTGTCGTAGAATCGTCTTTTGTCCTTCCTAGCACTCTTCTTCACTTCTTTGTCCAGTGCTTTGTAAGTTGAGCTCAGCGTCTCCTTCTCCTGTCCGTCCTTGCATTGAATCATTTTCTCTTTCACCATTCTCCTCTCTTCTATTAATTTCCAAGTGTCCGTTGAGAGCCATTCCTTGTCTTGTCTCTTCTTTCTTCCTAGAACCGTTGAACACGTTTCGTTGAGAATCGCCTTCAGAGACTTCCAATGTTCTTCCACGCATGATTCTTCAGTGATGTCGCGTAGTGTTTCCTGCTTTGCTCTGACAGTTGCAGTGAAAGTGTCTTTTGTGGTTGTGTCCTTCAGTTTGAGTGTTGAACTTGCATTGTGGCCTATCCCCAGCTATCCTCGAGGCTTTTAGTTTCACCTTGAAAGTCCCTTCTACTAGATAGTGGTCTGAACCCACATCTGCTCCTCTCCTTGACCTTGTGTCCAGTAGGCTCCGTCTCCACTTTCTTGAAATTGAGATGAAGTCTATTTGGTTCTTGGTGTTTCCATCTGGTGAAATCCATGTCGTCTTGTGTATATCCTTGTGTTTGAACACACTACCACCAATCACCAAATCATTGAAGGCGCAGAAGTCTGAGAAGAGTTCACCATTGTCGTTCATTTCGCCGAGGGCCTCACGACCCATGGTGAGTTCTCTTCCTGTGTTGTCTCCTCCCAGCTTCGCATTCATGTCGCCCATCAGGATTTTGATATCGCCATTTGGGACGTTGTCCATTATTGCTTGTAGTTGTCTGTAGAACGCCTCCTTCTTCTCTTGTTCTGAGACGTTTGTAGGCGCATAGCATTGAATGACTGTAACTTTCCTTCCTTTTGAGTTGAACCTGGCTGTCATTATCCTGGAGGAGATTGGTTCCCACTGCATGAGAGCTTTGGTTGCTGTTGGTGACATCATGATGGCCACTCCCTCGGTGTGCTCATGGTTGTCCTCTGGGTGGCCGGAAAAGATTACTGTCTCTCCAGTAGGTAGTTGGCACCTTCCAGTTCCGTTCCATCTGCTTTCGCAGATTCCCAACACTTCTATTCTGTACCTTCTCATTTCAGCGGCTATCTGGGCAGCCTTTCCAGTTTCGTACATTGTACGAACATTCCAGGTACCCATCCTTACTTTTGCTTTCATCGAAAGAAGGCACATCGGCTGACTGGCTTCCCGAAGGCTTTCACCAGCCTGCGTCATTTCACTTCCCCGATTCCAGCGAAAAGTAAGGCTATTGCTTATGTTTTTAGAATTTTTAATATATTTATTCGTTGAAGTTTCTGTAGCGATTTGGTTGTTTTACAGGGGTGGAGTTGCTAGCACCACGCCCCAACCCTCCCTCTTTACCCGGGCTTGGGACCGGCTAGAAAACTAGTAAGCTAGTAGCCTAGCAAGCTAGTATCTTTCTTTGCCATAGCCAGCTACATAATATGTATTGAGTTTTATGAACGACTTTTCACCTCACCTTGTAATTATCTTCACTTTGTTATTCTCTCATGTTTACGATTCTAGCTAATTCTATTAACTCGTTTGTGTCTTACGCAATTCTATTGAGGCGTCTTATTCTTCCTAGTCATCATTATTTTACAAATTTATTTATTATTATTACTTTTTTTGATTACAGCTTGATTCCACACCGTATTTTTGGTACAAGTATGGAATTTTCAGCGTGGATATCGGTAGCCCGAATTTCGCAGGCCGATCATTGATATCAGATGTGCGTCGGCGAGGGCTCGAACCTCGGACCATGTGCATGGTCGGCGAGAGTCCTAACCACTGTGCCACCGACGCACTTGATTATGTAATAACTTGTTGCTAACCCCTACGAATTAACTTATCTTGAATTCCGTAATTAATCTCCAATCAACCTTAGGAACTTGTTGCTAACATCAACTGGTGAATTGTTTTGATGACTTTTAATCCCTTATTTGCGCCGCCCCCCTCTTAAACACAAAAACGATAGTACGCACTTGACGGTTTTACAGTCAATCATCTATATGGTGACGAACTTGCAGTACTGTTGAAGAGTCCTGCACTCGGAAGAAACAGCTGTTTAATAGTTTTAAATGGTTTTGTGATGAACAATTTCCAACGGAGTTTTACAGTACAAAATTTATAGTATCCGTTATTTTACAAGTTTATTTCATTACAAATTCAAATCAGGAGCGAATTTTATAATACATAAGTGTATATGTATTTATTGTCCAGAAAGACTGACTGTACTCCTTGATTGACAAATAAAGTTTACAATAGACCAAGTTTATGTTCCATCATTAACTGAGGCATTCCAACTGATTCAGAATCTTCTGCGGCTGAAGAAACAAAAACAAAACAGAGTGAAACCATGCTATTAGGCAAAAACGAAAATGAAACGCCCAATCAAAATCTAATTTGCTAGGTGATCGCCATTTGCGAAGTGTAGTGTCCCAACCTCGTTCTACTTGACAGCTGCTATAACAAAAAGTGATACAGTATTAATAACTGGACGTTTTGAGCACAGTTTGATGCTCATTAATCATATCGATGTATTCTCATATTGCGAAACATTTTCCCATTGAAATACTTCAACAGCCTATATAAACCAGTTGAACAACTATCGATAGGAAATGGTCATCTAGTGTTTACGTCACTGCGACCTGGGGATGACCGACACCTCTGGTTGACGCGAAGACTATCACACTATTTCGATTGTTTTTTGCTTGCTATTTATGCTGTCGCATGGAATACTTATTGCGGTTCATAAATATTAGTGCAATAGGAAAAACGCGTCTATGGAGACCTTTGATAACAGAATGAAAAACGTATTAGAAAGATTCTTACATCCATATAATCTGGCAAGACAAACAATACTTACGGTTGATGAAGTCAGATATGTCAATCTCATCTAAACTGCCATCCAACTGAGCAGCCAATGGATGGTGTGAATATAAGCCAGGGAGACGGGGTTGAATACGTCGCATTATACGTTGTTCCATAGATAGGCGTAGAGGTGCATGAAGACCTTGTGCAGAGGCCAGTATTTGCATTCTGTTAGCTTTTTCAGCTGATTTCCCATGCTTTGCAAGTGATTCAGCAACCGGATGTGGAAAGTTGGTCGAATCTGCCACCTTGGACCCTGGAATCGCACACAGGGAAGATGCTTCTTCACTTGACCATACACTGCGACCAACGACGTCACCTAGACTGTTACAGAATGGAAAATTAACTACATCCACATATTGTACCTTCATGCTTAGCAGGATTTCCATAAAATATATCTAAAAGGCTTAAACGTTCAGATCAACAGGTACAACTCAGAGGTGGTGACAGTAAAATGCACTGTTCCCTGGGGGTTCTATTTAGCAGGATACAACGGATAAGTAGTGACATGACTAAAAGCAGCCATCACAGTGAAAATCGACTGAAGCCACAAGTTTCACTAAGAGGCACGTATTGCTCTCAGATGAAAACAGGTTCAATTACTCCGGCTTTCCACTCTAGCAGACTAGGCTGGAAAGTTACTAACTGGTCGTTAACCGGTAACTGTCTGTAACTAACGAGTGTAAACCGAAAGACTCCAGCATTCACAAACTGGTCGTGTGTGACTGATCTTCAAAAGATTTTCAATGTGTTTTGAAATCATAAAAAATCAACATATTAAATGTACATCACGCAGCCATAGAGTTCACTTCATGGGTAACCAGTAAATGTCAACCTCTAGTAAACTTTTGTCAGTCAACAAGCAAGTATAATTTAAACTTATTCTTACCTGTACATCTATTCTTAAAGTGATACTCTAGGTTCCTAAACTACTTTAATTTGGTAATGTTACATATACAAAGACAGATCAATGTGCAAAAGAAAATACAAAATTTAATAAACATAAAAGGGTCCTCATACAGTGGAGACACTGATTAGAAGAAACAGAACTATGGCCAGTCCATGAAGTTGAGTTGTAGGATGAAGGACAGTTGAGTAAGATCAGCATCTGTCGATGCATCATGACTCCTCAAATTAAATTCAAATGATGCGAAGACATTGTCATATGATAGCTCAAATAGAAATCAGTAGCTGTCACCCTGCAGATTCCTCACTTAAGTAACCAATACTCCTCTGAACGTACTCGCTCTCTATAATAGTGCTTCACCTTCCCTTTTCCTATATCCTTATCATTATTTTCTTATATCTTTATTACACTATTTGGTACCAACACTACTAATAATAAAATGAAAGGTATACTGTACCAGCCAGACGAGTACTGTCGCACTGTAACCAGGTTGAGGAAACATTTACAGGAGTCACGAAATCTTGATCAAGGTTTATCGCTTACAAATAGCTTATTGTTATTCGAAGAATGCAGATACCACATTGTCTGTCGCCAAGAACAACATGTTTGGGACTAGGTTTTCTGTTGTGATATATGGGAAAGTTATACCATAAGCCCAATGGAATTAATGTTTTACTAGATAACAACGTACCCAAAACACAGTAACTTATGTTAACTGTTCAGCGTTGTAGTGTTTTTCATATGGCTGTATACTGTAACAATACTTGGCATAATGGTGAAAATAATGGAGTTTAGTGGCTTTATACATCTGCTTTATATGGTAATTTGTCACTACAGTGTAAGATGATACATTTCAGTGACCTAGACCAAGTTTCGTGCAGCACCACTTAAAGACACTAATAACAAATCGAATCTACAAGCCAACAAACCATATCTTCACAACAATTACCATAATGCAGTGCTAACATTTAAGTAAAATTAAACCTACCCAGTATACATTATTGGTCGGACAGCAAACTCGGGGTGTACTAATTCTTTTTGAGTGGCCATCCTGAAAGTTGTCTGTTCAAAACAGAAAATAAACAGAAAAAAGTATAGGGTTCCATTCAGTTGAAAGTCTATTCATAATAAACTCAAGAAACTTAAGGTAGTACATGTTAGTAGGGGGCGAACAGTTAACCTATTACTGAACTGCACCTATAGTGTCCAAATAACACACATAGATACCAACGTGGAAATCATGTGGTTGGAAACTTAGTGATAACCTAAGAAAATGCCACGAGTATTAATTATGTAATTATTATGTTAATTAAGTTTGGCTAAATCAATGAAATATTCAGTCTCACTGACTTGTATGAGGAAGATAGAGCACTATTACCAGACGCAATTACCATCTTGTTTTTGAGCAAGAATACTGTTCGCATAGCAACACACACGGAAATTCAAGAAGCATCTGTGACTGCAAGGTTTTGATTGTTACCTGGACTATACGGTAAAGACTGGTTTTGATGTAATAATGACCAAAGTTGAAACCAGAGGCTCTAGATAGCAGCTAATCTGGTGTAGAAATTACAGAGACAAAAACATTAATGCAGAACTATCCATATAATACCAAGAGCGAGTCATAACTAGATAGCTTGCTCCTGATACACAGTGGAGGTTGGCAGAGGTTCAAAAGGTTCCAGCTGCAAAGAACAAATACAAACAGCAGTTTTCCCAACAATCCCTTCTGTCTGTCTGGATTCAACATAGAACTTGGCACCGAAGTGCAGCAGTTCGGTGTTCCTCATCTATAAAAAGCGTATTTTTACAACATAGTCATGCACGAAACTGAGAGCAATACGTTGAGTGGATCTTCTGGTACTCATGAAATTTCTCATCACTTTTCTGTTGTTAACTAATGCCTGAATTCTGCTTATGTACGGGTTGGCAAACAGTTGGTCGTTAATTACCAAAAAATACACACAAGTTATAGAAGTTATAGAAGAACCTGAGAATGCAGAAAACCTAATATTCAATGCGATGAAACGTGGTGACGCTTCACATAGGTTTTACATGCTGAGCTACAATCCGCGACCACTTTGCCAAATGACGGTTTCATCTTAATAAAAATCTGATACGAAAAACTAGATGCAAGCACAAACAGTATGTCAGGTGTACAGTAAATACTGCAGGTCTTTATTCCAGTTTCCCCATAAAACTGCAAGAGCGATAAACGAGTCACAGTGCTGCGTATTTATTTTCGTGGGAGTAAGATAACGATAGCAAACTGGGTGAAACGTAAGTTATGTCACTTGAATGTTACTGTATTTGAGTAAATGCCAAACATCAATGGGAATTTAAGAAATAACACAACGACCAGTTGTGGCCGTGCTCGGCTATGGTTGTTTTTAAGTGTCGGCTAAACAAGTGGGTGACTGTCATTACTACTGCAGGTGTTCCTGATAATGATGACGGAGATGAATGCCACTGAAAGTCACTCTGAGACATGATTAATACGATATACAGTTCTCATGCAACCGTGAAGGTAATAGGTGCATGGGATGCATACAAGGGCTGATGCCGAATCAGTTATATGTTCACAGATACAACCCAACATTTTTAAACGTTAAATGAGAGAAGAAAAAGCACTTTAATTTTAGCCACTATCTATTTATGGAAATTTTAACAAAGGCGGAAAACAATAAGGATGGTGTCCTCTAACTTTTTGTAAGAATAACTCCTAGTTATAGGGTTATTGGTGAGGACGTTAAACCAATTATACCATATATATGCGCTCAAATGATTACACATGCTTTCTTTTTGTGACTCTATACTTACTCTCATCCTAGCTTCCAACCGTCTAAAAATCCCTCATCAGAGTCCTTAAGCCCAGTCGAAAGAAAATGGACAGAAGACGGCTAAATGTCTGAAAATGGGCAGATGGTAAGAGCATTAAAATAATGAGCCGACCCCGGTTAAACCCCTATCGGACAATTGCGCGAACAAAAAGGCGACGTTTCCAGGAAAAAGCTGACGGGAAGTGGGAAACTTTTTTCAAGGGGGTTTAAATCGAATACAGAAAGGGAATAATACTTTTGAGGTGTAATAAAACAAAGGGGGAAATCATCAGACAGTAAGGGAGAAATAAAGAGACAAAACCCAGTTAGCATTTTTTCGGGAGCGTTGCATATTTTTTGGGGCGAAAAACTTCGGGCAGATCTACTTACGTGGGACAGTGTTCCTAAGTCTGCCCCAGAAGATCTGCCATGCGCCCGAAAAAGATGCCAGTTGGGGAGGGGACAGAAAACTACTGACTGGGCATATAATGGAGATGATAAGATATTGGTTAGATAATGGTTACAAGGGTGAATTTTTTGTCGAATAATAGTGAGAATCTTTCCATATAACCAAAATCCGCCATAAACCATGCCAATTATTCACCTGTTTTCTAACGTCCGAATGAATGGTGATATGTTTTCACCTTATCAGAACAGTTCCATCTTAATAAAGAACCCCACATCACCCATGAGCATGATAAAAACTGTTATTACTTCCAGATATCAACTTCTAGAACACTACAGACATCTAACCAGTTAGATATCGGATAAATATCCCAACAAAATAAAGTTCCCATAGTGGAATTGTAGACATAACCAACTGGGTTACAGTGCCAAATGGTCCAAGATAACACTGCTATATTAGATATAATTGGTGGAGATACAAAAACAGCACGTGTTACCAACACAAAACAGCCAAATACTCTTACAAAGCAAAATTTTGAGTTGCCGCCAGTGTCTCAAAATTTCAATGCTCCAACTTCATACAGTTTCAGTTCCAGCCAGTTACAAAAACAAAAGTGCTACGCATTCTTGTAATTCACTCAGAATACTTCATTGTGGCTGTCTAAACTCATTTTAATTGGGCCAGTGGGCAACTGTAGAACTTCAATACTCCCGTGAAAAATTCACTTGGTTGAAAATTCAGAAAATGACCCGAACTTTGTTTCTGAACCGTGAATTAATATATTCCCAAGTGGTCGTTTCCATAACTTATGATCATATAACTGCCCATAAGGTTAACTCACTGGTATTTAGAACTCTGGCTATCCATATTGTAAGTAGTATTACCTAAGACATATACACATCTGGACTTATCCGACATGTAGATTGACATTTTGAATGAGAAGTGTTTTGGATAATTTTAACCAAAATTATGTTTTGTGTTGTCTGCGTTGATGGAGCTATAATTCTCGGACATGGCATATTAGCATGAGCTTCATGTGATCTGGCTGCGGTACACTTAGTACTCTGGTTGCAATGGTTTGTGTCTCAGATGAACTCTGTTGAAATATTGCTACAATAACCGAGGATAGAATAACTGGAGGGTAATACACGTACTTGGATGGTCTGTTTTATGTGAAGGTTGAATGCAGTATATTTTTATTCATAGCTGCACCAAATCAGTAAAAGGCCTTAAAGGCGAACCGAAACATTCTTCTGCCGTTGCTGTATGACAGTGTAGCGGTAAATAATTCCCCAAAATTATTGACCACAGCAATCACTCACCACTGGATGCTGACCACCACTGTTCAAGTCGACTTGTTTAGCTGAAGGCTTCCGGTCAAGAATCCCCGCCATATGGTACCCTGTCGTGTCACGTGCACGACCACTAGCTAGCTAAGCGTTCGTATGAAGGCTTGTTTTGGTCCCGAAATATATCACGAAGTTTGGACGATCAATTATTGGCTTTTGCTTTGTTTTCAGTACGCGAGAATAATTTAGAGGTTGTGTTAGATTATTCCGTCAACCCCTCTAAAACAGTACACTTTTTGCTCCCAATATGGTTAGCAGTGACGGTTAGCAGTTCTGTATATTTCTTCAGCTTTGGCAGAAAGTATTTGATTACCCAAGAGGTTGCTATGAATGTTATTTTAAGAGGTGGTCAGTTTGGGCGCTTACGCGACATAGGTTGCATGCAAATGAAGGTGTAACTCCTAAAGTGCTTGTTCTACTGTGATCAGAGAAAAGTCAAAACAGCAAATTGATGGTCCAAAATAAGAGATATATTTCCGGATCGGAAACGTAAAGTAACGATGACTGCCCAAATAATGAGGGTTCCTGGACGAACGGTCGAAAGTGATAACTTTCACACAATAGTGCACAGAACTTGGCTGGCATGCTGTCGTGTTACTGTCTGTTTCCCGCCTATAAATTCTAGATGGTTTTCATGCATCCTTGCTTAACAGCACTGATCCACAAACGTATTTGGTTCTTTGAAGGACTAAATTTTTAACCGGATTTCGTTTAACTATTTACTGGTCCAAGTAAGCACATTTTGGTCATCGAATGGCAAACACCTGCTATATTATCATCTCACCACTCATCCTGAAGCTAAAATGTGCTAACCACATTTGGATACTTATTTCTTTACTGGTCACCCACTGGACAACTCTAAATAATTTTGACTTCCTATATTTTGCTACTATGGGAATCTCTAATGAATTTCTCAATTGCACCGACAACCTCAGATTTATTTAACTTTTGGACGTTGTCAGAGTCACTTAGGCAGAAAAAACATCACTGACAGGTACATGAAGTTCAGCGATTTAACTCTAACTTCTCCTGTCACAGAGAAGTTTACCAATCGAGGATGACCGACCTTGAAACTCTGCTCATTTCCGAAGCTCCCATTTTTTCACTGTACTAAACAAAAAGACTGGACTTATATGTTACGCTGGTTTGAAATTTCGCTTGGAAATATTCTTTTGTCAATAACTTTTAATAAAATTGTGTTATATGTTATCTGGATAGATGGGAACTCTCATTTCCCAGCTAGTTATATTGGTGTTGACGTCATGTTATATATTTTGGATTATTAACAACTTTTATATACTTCTGCACCTCTCTGCTGGTTTTCTTGTGTCTTCTTCTCTTTTCAAAGGTGCTGCCTTCAACGAAGTTACTGATACAGCGTTGCTATTCTCCATTTATTCGTGATATTGCTAGCTCATCTGGTAAATAACGGGACCGCCTATATTATAAAATCTGCTGACAAGTTCAAAGTCGGTCTCATAAACAAGTGGAAATGTCACAAATATGGTGTACTTACAGATGAATCTGAAGTTTTATAGACTTTTAAACACTTTAGGTGACTCTAAAGAATAATAGCCCAAACCGAAACGACCTTCGAACAAAAAAGTGACCTTGAGCTAGGAATCAGTTGACTATAATCACGGATGTTTTCGATTACTGTTTGGATAACGGACTGATAGCTTTTTCGTAAATTTGCCAATGCGGAGGAGTTATGCATATACACAAATACACAGAGGCCATTGATGGCTTTGTATACAGATGCATTGAGTGCCGAAGGAGTGGATCGGTTCGAGGTTTGTCGCTGTTTTTTAGTTTACAGATCCCTTAGGAACTTTTCTCTCAAGGTCTAAACCACCTCTGACGAAAATTTTAATGATCTGTAACTTCTGGGTCCTGAAAAGAGCAGTCACAGCTGCAGCTTATGAAACAGGAAATTCAGAGGTGTCAGCAATGCAATGGTACAACTACTGCAGAGATGTTTCCTCCTGGAAAATTAACACCCTGACTCAAGTTCTCGGAGGGGTCGGCAGCATAGTCCATATTGATGAGACTGTACTTATAAAAAGGAAATACAACCGCAGGAGATTACAAGCAAACCAGCAGTGGATACTGGGTTTCTACGACACGACACTGCGCAAAGGGTATATAGAAGCGATTCTCAGTCACAGTGCCTATTAATAAGCGCTTGGTGTTGCCGGGGACGACTATTCATACAGATGAATGGAGCGGATACCGTCAATTATCGAATCATGGGTACATTCATCATGTTGTTAATCATACGGACGGTTTCCGGAATCCTGTCGATGGAACCCACACCAGTGCCATTGAAAGTTTTTAGAGTCATCTAAAAAGACGTATAAGAGTGGTTAATGGATCGAGAAATCCCATGATTTACAGTTACCTAGATGAATTTATGTACCGAAACTGGTTTCATATGACTATGAAGACTCCCATGAGAAACTGGGAGGTTTAATTGCAACATACACGCGAACGCCATTCTTTGTAACTGTTTATTATGATTGCATTACTTTTATACAAACCGTTTTTTACAATTATGCGTCATTCTTTTTGACACTTCTCATTGGCGAAGTTGTCCCTGTCAAGGTCATTTTTGCGTTAAAAGGTCGTTTCGGTTAAGGCCGCTATTCTTTAGAGTCACCACACTTTATGAATCATTTCCTGATAATTATTGTTTATTCTGCGTCTCTTATGAATAACGTCAGAACCTGTACAAAAATGCTACTAACCTTCCTCAACTAACGCAAAGATTTATGTCAGCCACGTCACATCAACCGTTAATGCACAGCTCTTGCTACGCTCGGGCCCACGCTGTTCCTCGAAGATTTCCAGAAACGCATAGTAATAACGGACGATTAAAACAAAAGACCGATTTGTGATTCGAGGATTATTTATTGTTACACCAACATATAAAAATAATGTTTATACTAGGGTCTGTGAACAAATATTACAATAATAAATCACAAGATTACTTCTGATGGTTTATTGCTGACTTCTTTCTGAACAGCGACCAATGAGACGACGACTGTCGTATTGATGCCTCCGCGAAAATTGGGGAATTTGGGTTTGAGCAAACAACCAAGAATTGATCGTTCAATCTTCAACTCCATTGACACTCCCCGGCAAAATGGGATCCAACCCTTTTTTCCTTCACGACCAATACACGTTGACTTGGATGCCATTGCGAGAACCTGGGTCACACGGACAGAGCTGAAATGGAAAACAAACAGAAAAGCCAACACACCACAAGCATACCCACAGAACAATCTCACACATCAATGACGACCTGCGCCTTCCAGTTAAAGGCATCCTCTTGCAACGCAATCGCCACTTGCTAGAGTGACTCTTGCAGAATGCAACGTGACCATGGCAGCACCTCACGATACTCTACGCTCATCCTCTTATCTACTCACTACCAATTACCACTGCAATCGCTTGTCACTCATTCTGTCTCAATTCTAGTAGCGATGACGTATGCGAGCCTCAGTCGTCTACAGTCTTGCACCCTGGCGTGTGGTATCACAGCTAATCATTATCTCCGTGTGCATGTCATTCTCAACAATAGCCTCCCCGGTGTACACGACCCGTCTTCTGTCTCTTAAACCAATCAATTCATTCACGGATGTAGAAGACTCGAAACAACTTCAGAAGTAATCACGACGAAAAATTTAACAAAATCATGAATAAAAAATATAAATACAACAATTAAACACAATCAATCTAAAATCGCAAATTGATATGCCACAACACACGTATACACAAACAGTACAAATAACCTCGCGGATCGTGTCTTGGTGGAATTCCTTTGAAGAATTGCAGGACTTACACCAGTACACCTACAACCCTTCAAAGGTTGACGATTGTAATTTGTAGAATGTCCGGACACAAACAAGATTAACCAACAATTACAATAATTGGAACTCACACAATTATTTAGCACAAACATATGTACAATCACTACATCAAATGTTGTGGATTCCGGCATGACGAATTACCCTTGAAGAACTGTAGGACATTCAGCAATACGCCTACAACCCTTCTCAGGTTGACGCTCTAGGTTGGAAAATCGTTGCAGAGTTCATTTGCTGACTTCCTTCTATCAGCTATATCCTCAAATCTGAACGGTAACACGCCCATGTCATTGTATCGTAGAATATAGATGACGAACAAACACACGACGTATCTGGTCAACCAAGCGCAGGCACAGAGTAATTTACACCAAAGATAATAGCATTCAAATAGTAACTTGAAACTTGAAATGCCTTTATTCATGCAAGTCAATTTAACAATTACTCTCTCGTTTACACTGGGCTTATCCTCACTAAACTGACCAATATCTTTCGTCTTTTCAAACGCACCAATACTCTCAGAGTCATTGCACGAGATAGTTGAGTTGATGGGCGTCCTTCTCATTGTGGATGACAACACCAACGACAACTGATTGATACCAGTTGATGAAGTTAGCGGTGGATCAGAAGCTGTTCTTGTTCGGCTTTCAGAAATTTGTCTACCTGCAAGACCACCACCACTGCTGTCTTTTACTATCAGCTCAGGTTTAGCACTATCATCTGATGATAGGTGGGCTACATGCTGATAACTCACACTGACGGTCTCACAAGTATGCATGCCTTCTGCAACTGCATCTGCATTCATTTCTACTTCACGTTGTAGTTGTACAGAACCTTTATTCAACTTAGCAGTAGTAGGCATTCCCCCCATTTCATCATGATCAACCGAAGACAAATGTGCACTATCATGATCATTATCACAAATATTCAATTTACCATCATCTATCTGGTCGACTTCATCATTTTCAAACTCTTTAATGACAGAAGTAGACAATTTTGGTTCCTCCTCATGAATCTTTAAAGTTTTTATATCTTCACTCTGACTAGTAATACTTTGTAAACTTATGGGGTCATAACTGGACTCTGAAATTGTAACTCTCTTCTGTGACATTATATTCAACAATGGCTTACCAGTTGCAACTACAGACATCTTCGCCGCGCTATTATCGTCACACAATTCGGAGTCAGGCCTGGATTTCACATTTAGCTTATCACTGAACTTGCTCACTGGTTCACAGTTCACCTTTGTATGCACCTCTTGCAAACGTGTAAAACACAACCGTGCTTGTCTTGCATCTTGCAACTTATCTGTTGAGGATGTACTACGAAACCTGTTACACTCACTAGGTCTATATGCATTACTAGACATCATGGAGCCTTCTCGATATCCACCTCTTTGAGGCCTATTCGTCATCAATGATTGCCTTTTGCCCTCAGACTGCTCTATTCTATGGGTGAGATTCAATATACTGGCAAACTTGCTCATAGATTGATTGACACTATCTTTTACTAGTTTCAGGATATCATCAAATTTTGGCTCGATACCCTCATCCTCCATACGGGAGCTTATCTTCACCCACTTCCTTTGCAGTCGAGTAGGTAGGCGTCTTGCTATTACTTCTAGTGTAAAACTCGAGTTGAGGTCACTCATGCAATTCATCGAAATCATTGCATTCTTGTAAATTAGCAAATTATCTAAAAACTCAGTGAGTGCCTGGGAGTCATCCTGTAATTGACCACCATTACCCTTAACAGCCTCGAATAATTTCCCTACAATCATCGAAGGTCTTCCAAACCTTTGACGTAATATGCTCATAGCCTCGTAGTAGCCCTCTTCTGGCTTCATAAACTTACAGCACTGTATAGCTCTTGCAGCATCTCCAGTGCAATACCTCATCAAATACATCAATTTCATTTCATCAGTTAATAAAAAACCACTCAGCATGATCTCAAACTCCTTTACAAATTGTATATAATCAGTCGGGTTTCCATCAAAACATCGTGGTTGGAATTTAGGGAGTTTGATGTTCCTATTATCCCTGAACGGCGAAATAGTAACATCAACCATGTCATGCTTAACGTCAGACACATCGTTACAATTAACAGACAAGTCACCATGACTTACTTTCCTGTTTGCATCCAAGACACTCTGTCCCTTCTTTGACCCAGGCATTGTTGAACTTGACCCAATTCCGAAAACGTTCCAGATATTGCTTGTTCAAAGAGGACTTGACCGGCACCAGGAAAGATGAATTGTGACAATCCAAACTGTTACCAGCTATCTGAATCCGTCAGAAACAGACGCCGTAAAGTCAGAGACTGACTTAACCGTCAGAAACTGTCAGCTACGTCTCGTAAACCTTTAATGCCCAGCTCTTGCTACGCTCGGGCCCACGCTGTTCCTTGAAGTTTTTCAGAAACGCTTAGTAATAACGGACGCGAAAACCAAAACACCTATTGGCCGCTTGAGAATTCTTTATTGTAACACCAACATATAAAACATATTTCTACTAAGGTCTGTGAACAAATATTACAATAATAAATCACAAGATTACTTCTGACGGTTTATTGCTGACTTCTTTCTGAACAGCGACCAATGAGACGATGACTGTCGTATTGATGCCTCCGCGAAAATTGGGGAATTTGGTTTTGAGCAAACAACAATGAATTGGTCGTTCAATCTTCTACTACATTAACAATATTCTTTCCTCCAATTAGGGGTACCTTACCTTCCTCCCACAACTTCTTTTTATAGTGGCATGAATTTTGTCAATCACGTCTCATTAACCATTAATGTCCAGCTCTTGCTACACTGGGCCCCACGTTCTCCCTCGAAGCCTTTGAGAAACGCTTGGTACTGACGGACGCAAAAATCAGAACACAGATTGACGACTCGAGAATTCTTTATTCTAACATCAACATACAACCGGGATTGTTAGCATTACACACTAAGGTCTGAGAACATATATTACAACAATAAATCACAGTATTACTTCTCGTAGTTTTTTCTAGGTTCTTACTGAGCAGCGACCGATGAGACGATTACTGGCAGATTGATCACCCACGAAAATTATGGGGAATTTGGGCTTGAGCAAACAACCATGAATCGATCGTTCAATCTTCAACTACATTGACAAATTTTTTGGTTAGGTTCTGTTGCCTTGAGTGTCCTTTACAGGCTTCTTCTGTATTGATCTCCTCGCAGATCGAGATCTGGTTATCAGTTTAAGTGCTGAGGTTTACCTTACCCGCCGTAGGTTGAGCTTTACTTACCAGTGAAAAGAAGAGTTGTCTTCTGTCTTTCTTAGGACTTTTCTTTACTTCTATATTCGATGCTCTGTAGACGGAAATCAATTTCTCTTTTTTCGCCCAATCAAACACAGGAAAGTTCATTTATCATTCAATATCGTCCACTGACAAGAGGGTGTGTTACAGGTCGTGAAGTGTTCAGTAGGTTACTCGTCTCGTTTTTCTCTATCGCTTATCTGCTAATCACTGAGTGGCCATGGTACTTTCTGCTTGTTGTGTAGATCTCAAAATCTAGCTAACATTAATGTAAAGTGGCACTGAATAACTTATGAAAATATTGCGAATAAAGAAGCTTTGAAGCCACTGCTGAAGATATAGATAATATGTATAAGATTCGGGTTAACCAGCGCTTGTCCAGTTTTCAAAATTTGCAAAGTATTGAGGTAATACGTATCGTAAATTGTTTAAAAGTTTAGGTGATGATGGCAGAATATTAAGGCCTAAAAACTCGTCCTCATACTTCATTATAATTCACAGCTGCGTAGGGCCGATAACAGTAGCTTATATGAGGCAGCTGGACAGCTGGCTTTCATAGTAGTTCATTTTTACATACTTGTGTTTCCAGTAGCAACATCTTCACTACTTTAAGAAACAATAAACTGCGTAGGATTGTTGAATCTCTTGTAGCAGTCTTTCATTTTCTGAAGTACATTCTTCCTGACCTTATTACTGTGAAAGTAGATCATTGTGATAGATTATCAGTGAACGTGCAGATGGAGACATGGTTAACTGCTAATAACGTAAATGCACGAAGTCTGTTTGAGAAAACGATCTTGGTCAGACCAGTTACACCTACATCAGTTTTATTGGTGGTTTAGTAATCGAAAATAGATTGACCTTATCTTAACAACATAAATCCGCAGTTGTGGCAACTACCTAACATTACTGTGCCGAAATCCAATACTCTACGCAAAGCTTTTGCAAGTGACAAATATGTTTATCACGCGTGACTTTAGTCAAATGCCACTCAAATGTGGAATGAGGTGACGACCTAACTTCATCGGGTTCATCTGCATTCTTACAGAATCCACGTTTCCATATTAAAACATGGCTGAATAAAGTAAGTTAAAAGGCCAGCCAACAACTGGAAACTGGTTACATTCGCTAGTAACTGAGTTCGGCTCATACAGCAAGCGTGAAGACTAGGTACTTAGTTCCCAACGCACAATGCATTGAAAGATATGTGGAGTATTCTTTCACTGGGAACATTTGAAATGTGGAAAAACAAAGGCTAATATACGTTGAATGTCAGGAAAACCCGATTAAGTGGTTTTTCAAAGGGATAGGATGAGATGCTTCTCCCCTTAGCTCATATAGTACTGTAGCGGTAAATAATTCCCCAAAATTATTGACCACAGCAATCACTCACTGGATGCTGACCACCACTGTTTAAGTCGACTTGTTTAGCTGAAGGCTTCCGGTCAAGCATCCCCGCCATTTGGTACCTCGCCGTGTCACGTGCACGATCACTAGCTAGCTAAGCGTTCGTCTAACGGCTGGTTTTGGTTACTAAATATATACCTTGGTTTGGACGATCAATTATTGGCTTTTGCTTTGTCTTTGGTACGCGAGAATAAATTAATTAGAAGTTGTTGAACGAGATATCACGTCAAACCTTTAATATTCGTCAACCTTTAAAGTACCAACCGAAATCTACCGATGTACATTGCATTTTGCCCATATCTCCTTCTTGTAAACTTCGGGTGAGATATCAACAATTCCTTATTGAAGACCTTAGTTCTGTAAGGTGGTGTTGTGATTCTTTTTAAAGGGGACTGAGAAGGGAATGGAGTCAAAAGAGTTGGCTGGTGTATCACTCCTAGAACCGGAAAATGAAACTTTCTGTATATTCCATGTTAACTTTAAGTGAAAGATGATAGGCATAATCTCGCTTAGTTCAACCAAATAAACCGTAAGTAGAAATGGCTCATAAAATGCATTAACTGAGACGAACTGTGTGGTCGGTTTTCTTTGGACTTTTTTATTCAATAGATTATTCTCTCCACCCTACCATACCGTAAGCAGAGAGGTGATTTAATAACAAATTTTAAATAATGACTACGGACCTTATCTATTCTGTCTTTTCCTTCCCACCAGGTTGAATTACCTCGGAGGACATAGCAGGAAAGTTGAAAATCCAAGAATAAACCATACTGCCGTCAAGTACTGGTGTACCGAGTCAGAAACTTCTGGAACCGACTCCCAGAAGAAGTGGTATCTGCAACCTCAACCAATTCATTCAAAAAGGGCTTAGAAAAGCACAAAAATTAACTAAAAAAGATTTCAAACAGATTCTAAGCTTTCCGAAGTCAACCAATAAACATGGAGTCTGAAAGTTATTTTGTTTTAATGAACTAGTATTACAAAACAACCTTGAATTACTATGTTCAATGCAGCAGTGCATCGTTCGAATGCACAATTATGATTGAAAATCTTTAATTCATTGTCGGGTTGACTTTTGGCGAAATGAAAAATAAATTTGAACCAATAACATGTCCTGTGTGCTCAAAAAACGTCTATTTTGCAGAAGAAGTTAGGGCTATGGGTCGTGCATTTCATAGGCAATGCTTCAAGTGTTGTGAGTAACAATTCTGTAATAGTACTTGACTCTCACCTTAGGCCAGTGTTCAAAAGCTTTGGATAGTTTTACCGCAAATGACCATAAAGGTTCGTTGTACTGCAAGAGCTGTTATGCAAAAAACTATGGACCACACATATATGGTTTTTCAACCAATGGTGTTTCCGCTAAAAGTTGTTATGACCTACGGTAAGTTTAATATAAATGTAGATCACCACTTTTAGCGGAGTGATTTTTTCTTATTAGGGATATTTATCTTCAGGTTAATTATTTCTTCAATTTCCCTGTCATTAAAGATTTTAAAGAAAACATTTTGTTTTGATAAATTCATAAATTTAATTTCTACAGTTTTCATTTGCTTCACAAATCTTTTTATGGTCGTTTAGATCTGATCCTTAACCTTAGTACAGAGTTTTTTACATTGTCGTATCGAACCACACCATGTTAGTCAAATAATGACTAGTACATTCTTGTTTTAGAATTGTTGCATGCTGGGGGTTTAACAAGCGACGCTTTTCAGAGTCTCCATTCTCGTCACTTATTCTGGATTTTTATGCACTTAAATACAGGATTTTTGGTAACATAATATGTTCAGGATGAATTCGATTATTTTTGGTGGTCAGAAAGTTCGAATTGGAATTAGAGTATATTTAAAATTTACATTACGAACTATTCTGGCAAACGTTTTAGCGTAGCAAATTTTACTTTTTTCCCCGGGCCAAAATAATGAAAAACAAACATGTTGTAAAAATCAATATTATCTGTCGGTGGCACAGTGGTTAGGACTCTCGCCGACCATGCACATGGTCTGAGGTTCGAGTCCCTGCCGACGCACACCTGATATCTATGGTCGGCCTGCAAAATTTGGGCTACCGATATCCACGCTGAAAATTCCATACTTGTACCAAAAATACGGTGTGAAATCAAGCTGTAAACTAAAAAAATACTTTTAATTTTTTGAGTGTTATCATGGAGATTTTCATGACTACGGTCTTCATAATGCGAAACACGTAGTTTTCTTCAACAAAAATTCAAAAGAACTACCAAACTACAGGCAGAACCATGCCAAAGTTGTAGAAAACGTATTAAACTACTTGAAGGTTACTTTTTTAAGAAATGAGACATTTTAAAATAACATGTCTTTACTAAGGTCAGCCTCGACTGAAACCGACACTTTATGTGATTTATTGGTTAATATTAAAATAGGTGTCGAAAAGCTTTGCATACCTATAGACTCAGTCATAGGTTCAGTCTTAAATGTGAAATTCTATCCAGTGTGTGATGCCTTGTGTTGATGATAACAAGTCATTACACATCTTCCTACAGACAAAACACCTTTTTTCCCACCTTAAAAGTTGGTGAAACCTTCCAAAACATCAGTCATCCTGTTAAGCGTTGCTTTGGAATAACTTACTTGACATCCTTATCACAAGCTATAAGTACACAGAAACAAATATTTGCGATTAAAATCTCAGCATCCGCTAGTAAAACTATGAATTATCAATCAAACTAAAAAAGGAACTAAGTGTATTAGTAATTTGCCGATCTAATCTTTTATGCCATACTTGCCCCTTTTCATTTCATCAGATGTTTTGATGATCTCATTGTTATTAATGTGTGCATTGTTTTGATTTGGACAAGCTTGTCAGTGACTGCTTTTATCCACATTTTTCAAAGAAACACAATTATTCCGAGAATTTTTACATGTTACCTAACGCGGAATGTGTTCTATGCAGGAGAAATATTTTTGGGACCACTAACAGTGGTATCTCTACGTAGGTATTTCATTCAAGTAGTTTCTTTCATCAAATGAAGTGGTATAATATGAAAACACACGATCACAACAAAATAATTGAAATACACTTTTAAAATACCGTAGGGAATCACAAAGAGTTATATAGTTTCAGGATCTTAAAATATCGTGAAACAAAACTTAATGGAAGAAATTGCGTTGTTGGGATTAACAGGGTATGTTACCGTGATTTGACAGAAAAGTTTTCCTTTCAACCATAAAACTAGAGAACGAATTTCCAATTTAATGGGAAAAATAAAGTAACTAAATTTCCTCTGAACTGTTTCATAGTTGTGAGTTGTAATGAGATGTTATACACCTAGAAAATCTTGGTCAGCATTATTATTAAATTGAATCTCCCCTTATTTTACTAGAAACGATGTAAAGAGAGACGTCCAAAACTTATTCGTGATTAAGTCAGTAATTTTTAAACAGGATTTGTGGTTTTCGACCAAAACAGAACTTAGTAACAATTTACAGTGAACTAAGGAGGTACATTTTCGACTATAAAATCTCAGTATGGTAAATGATTCGAGTCTTGTGACTTAGCTGTTGAAAGTTAATTAGCTAGACCAATTAGTCACATCTAATGAAATATATGAATTTTGACTTTTCATCAACAGATGTCGCTTAGTTGCTCAAAAATAATATGACAAGTGGTGATCTTACAGTTGACACCATAAAAGTGCGTAACTGAGATGGTCGCACTTTAGAATCATTCTCAAATACATACTTAACATGAAAATATAGATACCTGGTCACTTAGTAAAACAGAAGATGCAAAAAATTTAAACAAAGATCTAAAATGACTCTGATGGTCAAACTGGGTCCATTGTATTTCTTCACTTAATATATACCATAACAGAGTTATCATAAAACCATCAGTTATGTCATGTTTCAAAATATACCAAAGTTTCGTGACCTATTCTCATCACTTTGTGATTATTCTCTCCTTTTTATCACTTGACTGTTTTTAAGGACCAGGACTGTGGGATGTATTTTTTTGGCGAATAGTAATAGATTATTTGTATAATAATTTCATTGTTTGGATTTAATTGCTCTTGGAGAGGATGTGTACTACATGAGTAATAATCTGGATGTCAGCCTATTGCTGTTTGATGAGAAAACCGGTTCTTAGGTTAATGTTTAATATGATTCAAAAAAATCTACAGTTATATACACTCACTAGCCTACCTACTGATTGCTTTAAAAATTAAAACAAGCTTTCAGATTTTTTATTCGCATATAGACTATCCAAAGGTAAACATCATCGTTTCAAAGAATTTGGTGATATATCTTGTTGACAAGTTTTAACCAGCGCAAATTATCATACAGCACGTAAAAACTGCCAGAAATAAGCAGAAATTGGTAGAAAACATATTATTTTTCTATGTAGCTGATTTGATCTTTGCATCTGATTAATTTATTGAAGTTACGGAGATAAACAAGATATTGAGAATTTGAAATCTCAGGTGAATAGTTAAACAAAAGGTGGAATTTATGAAAAAAGCAGCCTCTTGCTTCCATCACCTTATACAAAATTAACACACCCATATATTCATAATAATACTTTTTCTATCGGTAGCAATATGAATCTATATTATCAGGCAACTTGTTCTAAAGTACAAGTAGTGTCTTTATACTCGTTTGTCTGCTTTTTTTAACTGTTAACACCCTGGAGTCAGTTTACTATCTCCCAATTATTTTCTCTCATCAGCTGACTAATCTTTCTTCAGCCTTAATGAATAGGATATTAGCAGAAATAAAAACTATGGAGTAATGTAAGAATTTAATGTCCACAGTGACTTTCCATTGTTAAGTCAAGATTTTGAGGGGAATTTAACAGTGGTTTTTACTCCTTTATAATTCATAAACTATATTACGTTGAAAATATCCTCTCTTTGAAAAATGTCTACTAGTTGGGACACTTATGCGATAGTCAGTAAAGCTGGGAGTGTAAATTTGTACTAACTGAGACAGTTAGCAAATATGTTGCATACTTCCGATTCTCCTGTCAGCAGAAGTATGATGTGATTGCTGAAATACGACCGTAATTAGAGATGTAAGGTTAGCTGAAACAGTGAACAGTGATAAAATGTGGCAGTACAATTAATATGAAGATGAAGTGTGAGCACATCAACATCATACCATGTATGTACTCTATTCATAAGTTCTTATAGTCATAGGCAAATCAACCAGTAAACCTACGCTTAATAACATGGATGAGATCAATAGTCAGTTGATTGCTGTCAAGACCTTTCAATTTACTGTGACAAGAGTTATTGATCTTGTTACATAACTGCATATTCTCTTCCATGTTATTTTTTCTACCTACTGTTCAAAACTCACTTGTTTGATATGAACTTACTCCAAAGTGCTTTCTTGTATATTGTCAAGTAATTTCGTTCATTCATTCTACTCAGCAAATAATTGTTTGTTTTGGATCATTTGATAAGATCATTAATCGACTCTTCTTTCAAACTCAGTATAAATATATTTTAATTTTTTTGTCACTTGAAATGTTTATGTCATCATTTCACTGACTGATGTTTTGTTAAACATCAATCTCAGCACTTAGTTCTGTTTAGCAGAAAATTGCGTTTCATCACATTATTCCTGTGTATATTTTAGTCTGTTAGCAAATGAGCAGAACCGTCGAAGTCTAATTAGCACATTTTATGCCATGAATCTTGTTCTTTTTATATTGAAAAAGATAATTAAGGAAATGTTTTGTATGGATTTTGATCAAGATGAAAAGTTTCTGATTCGAACGCTGGATAATTACGGACTGGGGCCTTTGATGCGAATGAAGTTTTGCAAAGACTGTTGATCCACTTCGCTCATTAACGTCGACAAACATGAAACTTATGTGAAGGGGTGATCCTTCCGTGTTGTTTTGTTTAGCTTATTGGTCGCATTGCAAGCTTCATTGACAAACTGCGACGAGTACGAAAGGCTTATGAACTACATTAGTCACCATCTGGTTGTAAATTAGATAAACCAACAGTTTCATGTCACCATTTTGTATCCAATAGTTTGATTATTTTAAATCAATTCTCTTTATCAAATGTTGGTTTGCAGGGATTTGACTGATCACAGGTTCGACGACGAGCTGACGTCAACTGAAGAACCTCTGAGGAATCAGGGAATATTTGGCATCAGTTTCGTTCTAGTTTGAAACTCTCCAGGCACACGCACCCACAGGGATTCGAAGTCAGAGCCTTCTGGTTATAAGGCAAGCTCGAACACAATTCAGTTATTAGAAGTGACTAGCACTGACCCTAGGAAATTGTGAGCATTCTTTTATAGAAATTATACACTGAAGCATGCATCTGTGATGAATGTAAATTACTGAAATATGAATGAGTTCAAAATCGTAAAAGAATTCATGGGTTTCAGTCTGTTAAGACTGCAGAAACCTATTAAGTTTATTGTCTTTAGTAATATGTCTTAACAAAAGCAGGGAATGTACTGTAGTGCAAATTTTGAAAATAATACAGTAGGAAAAAGTCGTCAAGTATAGTATATCTATCATATTTCAAACTGATTATTAATCGTCTTGTAATTCAGACTATATCAAAGTTTTTCGCAATGAGGGTGAAAGTATGTGGTGTTATACCTGAGCATATATATGGGTTCTAGTTTCCATTTGTTCATTCAAAAACGTAATGACAAAGTCTAATTGTCTAGTGTGTACATTTGCTATACTGATGCTAGTTTCCATTTGTTTTTGAAGCCGTTCAGCCACAGTGCTTACACTCTTCTCATATGGCTCAGATACAAGTTTTCTGACTTCATAAGTTGCTAGCAAAGGAAATTATTGGGTTTTATGGTTTCATTTAATGGCTCAACGACTTCTTAATTATCTTTAAAAAATGGGTTGATGAGTATTACATATTGAAAATATCCCCAGTCATATGCCTCTTATCCGCCACCAAGTTGTTTCTAATAGCAACATTTCACAATTCCCGCTCGAAAATGAGCTTGCTTTTACAAATGTGGTGTCCACTTAACACTGTAAGTTGTATTGTGAAAGTGAATATGAATACTACATGACACATATTATTGACCAACATCAGTAATTTGAAAATGTTCGCTCTGACTAAGTAGTGTTGATTGGTTGTTGTTTCCTATGTGTTACCATTCGCCCAAGCAACAATGAAAGCTGAGCTGAATCAGTTGACGTTTATATTTGAAGAACCTGTTCACAAGGAGCAAGATAGTCGTACAGTGTTCAAACAGTCTTGATCTAACTAGCTAGTGATGCTGATTAGAGTAAACGGTGGTATTCTGGTGATCAGTTTATCATGTAACACTGGTTCATTCATTTAAGAATAAACTCAGTTTGTTTGATTTCTTTTTACAGAGACTATATGAAATCAGATGGGTATACGAATTCACACAGTCCTATGAGGTTTGTTCATAAGTTAATAATAACTTCGATTGATCCTAGTTACTCTCAAACCTATCAGCATCATCAAAATCACTATTCTTCTGGTCAAGAAAGTTCTTCAAATTGGGACTATAGCGGAAATTATATTCCACGAAATATCAAGACACGATGGTCTAGTGGTAACGGTGGATGTAATTCAAACCGTTGTGCAAACTGTCCAGATATTGTTTATGCTAATGAAAGAATAGATGCCGTCGGTAAAGTTTTTCATCGTTTATGCTTTAAATGTGCTGATTGTCAGCGTCTTCTTGACCGTGGTACAGCCTGTGATCATAATCGTGAGGTATTTTGCCAAAGTAAGCCACTTTTTGTAATGAACAAAAATGACTATAAAGTAATATTACAGTTGTTTTTTTCTTTTATTGTACTCATTTAAACAGTTCATGAGAAATTGCTTGGTCTCAGATGACTTTTCTTCAGGAGTTAATATCAGCTCGGGAACTGTTTAATACAAAGAAGTACTGAAGTCGTGTTTAACTTTAGTTTGCGACCGGATAATCATGCATACAAGGTACATGAGGAGTGAAATAAAGAACTGTCACATTTGTTGGTAGACTTGTTACTTTAAGTGATATATTTTTTTCAACATGGAACTACAGAGTGCTTAAAACATCGTCTCTTGTAATACTGATTAAAAACTGCATTTACTGCAAATATGGAAATCATGAGACATTGTCTTCCTCTTGATACATTGGATAATCCTAGGGACATGACGACCAACAGGTCGGTTGTGCATGAAACCGTGAGGGTATACTCTAGAATAGTCGCAAAACAGGATTAAATATCTGTTTCTTCATTTCGTTATTGGTGGTTTTCTAACCAGTACTTGCCTCCAACTATAAATGCTTTAAAGCATTTATCTATTCACACTCCTCCTTTGCCTCCAATCACTCCATACGGTCGGATGATATGATCAGTCAAACGAATAAAATGCATACTTCTGTTACAGTGTTTAACAGAGTACGAAAAGCAACTGTACTTCCTTCCACAGAAAGTAACCTCCTAGTCTTCAAATAGCATATCAGAAGATTAATAACAATAAACAGTTTAACAGCTTTAAAAGCATTCCAATCTAATCTCTTTATTAAACCGAAATATAGCCTTTTAATGTCCCTTCTATAATGCGTCTTAATAAGGCATTCAATCCCCTCTAAAATATATCTGATTACTTGGAGGTAAACGTTCGCTTTTATATCCAACAAACTGATTATTTGAAATTGATTTGAATCCCTCCTTGATCAACGTCATTTAAAAGGCCATTGACCTTTTTTTATCCTGTTTTTGAAATCATCATCAATGTCTGCTCCACAGCCAACTATATGTGTCAGTCTAATAGCCTTTGCCGCCAACACACTGCATGCTAAACAGAAATGCAGTAATTCTTTCTCTCTGACTTTTTATCCAATATAACAGGTAAATTTGATCGGAAATCATAGGCGGTTAATGCGAAACAGCATTTTTACTGATGAGTTACCTGGGTTGTGTTTTAAATAAATAAATTTAATAAAAAATTAATGGAGGTTAATATTGTTCAAAGGCTGAAAGAAACTTTTCACCAGTTACTTCTTTCTCGTGTTCTACACTGAGCACATCTGAAATTAGAATAACTAGTTTATCCAATACCATACTGTTTACTTCTTAACACTTTCATCATAATAACTTCCAAAAATTAGTATCCGTTGTCAGAAAAACTTGAACTGACATTATCTTTTGTATTAAGTTTATTCATAGTTTATTTACATAATTTTTATCACGACTGTGTTAACAAGGTCATTACCATTACATTTTGTATTCATCTAATGTTTTATACTAACATTAAGTCAATCATATTAATTAGATGTATGTTAATACAGAAAGACAGAATAAGATGAAGTGGATATGAGGGGTGGATAGGGTCAGTGATTACGGTTTTTTGTTAGGAATGCAATTACACCTTAAATCTGCTCACATTTCAACACTACCAACACTTTCATTGTATACAATGCGTAAAGCTGATGATAAGTATGTGTGACCTATATTGCTTAATTTATGTGTACATATACATACATGTATACGGTTAGCGTAGATAATTGCGTCAGTAATTATGGAGGCACGAATCAAAGAAGATAATGAAAGCTATACGAAAGTCAAGTGATACCGATTATGGTGAAATAAAAATAAAGAGTTTCATTTTATGGGACAAATTAATTTACAGTATCTCAGTTGACTTGTTCAACACAACTTATTTAAATTACAGGATTTGTGAAGATTGTGAATTAATTTAAACTGTCGAAACCGACATCAGTTAGATAGACCACTGAAAACCAGGGAGAGCCGGACATTTGTTTCATTCTCGTTTCGAGACTCTTCACTAGTATGCACACAAGACCATACCAGGGATCGAAACCGGGACCTTCAGGTTACAAGACCAAGCTCGTTGACCATTCAATTAGTTGGGGTCGAATTCAGTGACCCCTAAATTCTAATTTTAACAATCGATTTTGTTGGTTCGTGACGAAAATCTAACTTTTTTTACTTTACAGAGTAATTTTGCATTCAGTAATTTATGTTATTACGTGACAATGGTTATTAAATTCTATTTTGTCTTTATACGTGACACATAAATTTTATGACTAGAAGTTCAAACGTGTTATATGTCACGCAGTATTTGTAGTTGATAGATTAATAAACCAGCCTTATTTCTTGCTACTTGTCACGTGACTTCCTTGAAAAGTTCCCGGAAAATTCACCTTCCTATAATCAAACGTGTGGTGATGTGAACCTTGCTTGAAGCTTCGTCAAAGCACATTTCTGTGCACACAATTATCGTCTGAGCTCCTTGATGGTAGGATAGATTCAGACAAACGTAGTAAAGGTTGTTGATAATAGAAAGTGAGGTTTGAATATCCACTTTGTTCCGATTCGATTAGCTGTCAGCCAGTGGTGCTGCTAAGGGACTGATGATCTTATAATCGGGGAGCTTTTGGAATTTATTCAGATTTGTGCACGTCGAAAAAAACAGTAATTAATCTCAGTCTACTTTGATGACAGTTTTTCTACTAATTACACAATTATGTATTCTGTTTCTTGATTATCTATTACTCTCAATATTGCCATTATTATGGATATAATCTTTTTCCTGATCCACTGATTTTAACGCATTTAATTAATTCCTAGTCACTCCTAAATGCTCACTTGTACATCGTTGCTTCATCGCCTGTTCCTGTATATTGCTGTCAACTACCAAAACCTCCCAAGTATTCTTCCAGATTCATGATGAATAACTACTTTCTCTTCGTGTTATTTATAACTGATTTTTTTTACCGAATTTCATTGATTATTGTTTTCTTAAACTACTCTCTTCATGCCGGAATTCTGGCAATAGATTTTAAAACAATGTGTGCCCTCACTTCTCTAATCCGGCGTATGTTTCATGCTGTTTGCGGTTGAAGAGAAACCTTGAGATATACTGTGCATAGTTTGTACTGCAATTTTTATTCCTCGTGCTTTGATGACGATAATCGATAGAAAAGTTTGTGTGAGGTTTCCTTAAATCTCAAATTCCGCCTGAGTGATTAGAAATGCATTTCAAACGTTCTCAAATAGTTACCTAAAGTCTTTGGAAGATTCGTAATATTATCACTTTTGACAAGACCATTTTCCTGGAATATTACTAGTCTATAGTTTAACTGATTTTAATTTACCCGCTTCAGAGAAACTCACTGGTAAATTATGTCACAGTAAATCACATAAAAGGAATTGATGTTAAAATGGTATGATATTATGCTATTTATCTTACAGTAGAGATCAGAATACTCTTGAAATGGACTTGACGTATGTTTGTATTAATCAATGAGCATGTCGACGAAATCAATGTAGCTCATATTGCTTTCTAGATTCAATATGAGATTAATGTCAGAAATGTTGATAGTGAGTAATTCTAGCATTCTTTCATAATTGAATAGTGTAGACTGGTCGACTACTGCTCAGTAATCAGCATCATATTGTTTAATTCCTAAATGCAGGCTGATTTCTATTTAATCACCTTTTGACAGCTTACTACCCCCAGTAAATGAAAAGTCTAAAAAAATAGCGTATTTTGTGCGGTTTGAAGGTAGAAAAGTCAAACATAGAACACTAGTTTCTAAAAATGATTAATTTTACACTCAGTACTCTGTGACTGAAATAAAATCACGCAGATATATCGAATCAAAGCTTTGCATTAAACTCTATCGAATCAAAACGTAAAAAGTACGTGAATATAAGTAAAAAGAAAGTACGACATTAAATATGTGTCTAAATAAAAAAAAACCTTCTAGATATTTTTCGACCTCCCAGAGCGTACACTTCGTTATCTAAATTCTGTTTCGATGTCAGTTATTTGACTTTTGGAACGATGGGTTTTACTTTTGATTCTGAGTGGTAATACCCACTGGAATTCCAGTACATTCATCTAGTATCCTAGATTCTGTTGTCAGTCAACACCAAACAGGTTACAGTTGCCAAGCTCACGATACACAGTGAAGTACTAATGCCAGGGGATCTTATAAAACTGTTATTCAAAAAACTTTAATCACTAAAGATACACTGGTTGCATTGCCATCCTTCCCAAACATTCTGCCAATAAACTCAGTATGTTTTATCCTGTGATGTCAAGACACATGGGAATTTCTTCGAGAACACCAATGACCGCAGACAAATTATTGTTATTCCTTTTGGTTCTGAGTAGGACAGGGCTTCAACAACCTGTCTCCATTTCATCCTGTTCCTTGAAGCCATTTATAGCCGACTCCGTGATTGAACATAAGCTGCCAGCTCCCAATACTATCTCTTCCGTGTCGCCATTGGACACCCAACTAGCCGTTTCCTCTTCAGGACTCACATCAGTGGGTGGCACCTGATGTCACTCAAAGGGTCTTCTCAGCATGTGTCAGACCCGTCTCCAACTTCTTGGGCATATATGTTGGGTAATAGGTTATTGGTCGGTTCTTTGCCTGAGTACCCTGTCACCAATCATTTCTGGCCATCTGATCTACAGTATCGGGTGAAGGCAGCTGTTGATAAAAGTTTGCAGCGACTTGACATTACTGCTGAAAATCCAAATCTTGTTCTTCATGCTTAGTGCAGGAGCGTTCCACACTCAATTTAGATTAATGAAGACTTGCCTTGCCTTTCTGATCCTGTTTGGCTTTAAAATCTTCATCCATGCCACGTGAAGTTGGAGCGATGCCGTCTAGATACACGAAAAAGGTGAATTCTTTTAGATTTCTCTCGTTGATGGTGACTATTACTTGTTGTTGCCTGTTTCCTTTCGTTTCACTTGAAGTCATATCTTCAGTGCTTCTTCTGACAACTTGTTGGTTTTCACCTGTATGTCTTATCTTCGAGTTTGTATGAAATTAGAAGTAAATCATCTGTAAAGTCTAAATCTTCGAGAGTCTTCTTGTCGGCCCGGCGCATTTCCAGCTTCTTGCTCCTCACTACAGTCAGGCATTTTTTCAGAGTTCAAGAATAATCACATAAACTAGTTTATGTGTTTTCACAATCAAAGTGTAAAATAGAAATAATTACACTTGATACATGGTAAGTAGCCGGATATCTTACCATTAACCTATAATATGTTATAATTTAAAGTTGATTTTGACCAGGGAACTTTAAATAACATTTATGTAACTGAATTGATGTACTTGGTTGCGTTTTACAGAGTTATGAGAGGGAATCTACGTCTTCTCACTCTGTATGTTCGGGTAATCATTTTGATTTGAACCTACAAGACAGGTATTTTAAAGATTATTAATAAATTTCAACCATCAAAGGAACTAAGCTCAGTATGCAAACTGAAAGCGGAATATAACAACAGCCTTGAGTGAAACTTTTCCTGGAGAAATATTTTCGCATACATTATCAGAGGTTTAGAGGTGATCGGCTATAAGTGCTGGGCTTATGTTTCATTTTCACTGGTATTCATCAGCGAATTGTACCTATAATCTCTACGAAACTCATGTCCCCTCTGGGATTCAAATGCACATCACCCAGTACTTCAGTCATAAGTGAATAGCTCAGTGGTAACCTTTATTAATGATGATTCAAAGTGTCCGGTGCTGGCTAGTCTCTAAGCTTGGTAAGCATACTGTAAACTTGATTAACAGAATTTAGTCAGCACTACTAAGGACTAGACATTGGTTATGCCCCAGTACTCAGTCATTTTATTATGCATAGATTGTTTTTAGGTAATATTAAATAAAATATGCAAACAGTCAATTATATGTTGCATTAATTTACTCATTTCAGGTCACTCACTCATACACTCACATATACACAGGAGAATAAAACTATGTCCAGATATAGTTTATGGGTGGATCTTTTTACTTTGATTTAATCCCTTAGGAAGAGAAAGCTACTAATATAGACTTGAATGGGAGCTGTAGGGTGAGAATAGGGGATAGAAGCACGAGAGATTGGTAACAGCAGTCATCACCTTTCATTTTAGATGAAATTTTATCCTTTCCTCTTTTCTTTAGAAAAGATTAAATAGTTAATAAATAGATAATAAAAATAAGGAAACCTGATGCTTAATGCCTCCCGATAAACATAATTTATGATATATGATATAAACTTGATAGAAGGATATAAAGAAAGGTAGATATGAAGGTGACAAGAAATGATGTGTTTGCTTGTTCGTTTTTTGACACAAAATATCCATCTGGAAAGATTTTTTTAGAGAATTGGTTGGTGTTTTCTGCACTGAACCAAATTTAGCTAGGACGAATCACTGAGAACCAATTAGTACCAGGAAGTAATTTCCCAGCGGTTTTGTAAGTATTCAACAGCGAGCACATGGGAACCAGCCTTGGAATAAACTTGCGATTTCCATCAATGAATAACGAAAGAACAGATATTAGCGATTAGATTCAACGACAAGTATCTCAAATTTACTACAATTGTTTTGCTCTCTAAGATCAAGGAATTTTTCTGTGTCATTCTTATGACTATCTTCAGTGTTAGAACTAACTTCTAGTTATTGGCTGACATTATACGTTGTAAACAGTCTTCAGTTGTATTGTGGACTGAAGATTTTGATATTGGTCTGAATCTGATCGTTTCCATGAAAGCAGAGATGGGTTTGAAATGATTTTCAACTATTTTCTTCAGAATGGATTTTGCCACGAACCAGTACTGATTACAGAACCACTAAAACCATCCAATAATTGTTGATTTTCATTGTTTGTTCTTCGCAACATCTGTCTTGAGAAATTGTTTTCCGTTTGAAGTCATTTCAAAGGGACCATTATTATCCTCAAATCAAATGAGGTCGGTTAATCGTCTCCTATAATTGCTAACAGTTGAATCTAAGAAGACAATGGTTTCTTTTCATCAAAATCAAAACTGTAATGCATTTGGGTCTTCAGTGCTTCTCATTCTGAGATGGAAATTAACTTGAAATAATCAGTTCACACTTAGTCGTCCATTCAGATGAGAAATAGCCTCAGTACTAAACAAATTTTAAGAAGGCACAATTATTCCTCAACTCTAATTAAACACCAGACTTCAATTACTATGTAGGAGTGATTAAAATGTACACCAACTGATTATCAGATAACGATTTACACCACTGAAAAACCGTAGTGTGCTGCATGAAATCCGTCTGTTAAGTTGTCATTGTGACATGGTACTCCTGCAATTTGTTGTTACGTAATACTAGTAAGTTGTCATGACTCTTCACTTAGCTTATATTCCATGTTTGCTGACGCTATTCATGAAAGCATGCGTGCAAACATAAAGAATCTCATATTACCGTGGAGATTTTAAATTGTATCACTCAATGTTGAAGCTAAAGACTTCATCTTGAGTTATTTAGGTTAGCGAAATGCGCATGTGTGTTGAGTCACCTATTTCACCCACTCAACTGCAATGTTTAAGATACACCTTACCAGTAAATTTCCACAAGAAGAGAACTTTGGTGAAGCAAGACTTCCTGTCAATTGAGTCTTGACGTATCTCTTCGTAGTGAGCTATTGTTGTCTACATTTTTTCTTGGCAGGTACATTATTTGCACTTTCTCCTTTTTTTATAGATTGTTACACGAAAAACTTTGGTTCAAAAGGACTGAAAGCAGGCACGAATCTACGTTGTTGTTAGTCTTGTATACTTCACCTACACTTTATTTAATTTAAGATGAAACTATGTTGTTATTTCTTATTCATTTACAAATTTCAGCATGTTTGGTTTTCCACCTTCCAAATATTTGCTATGATAGTTTTTCCAAGTGGAATTAATGTATTTATTAACTTTATTTTCGTTTTACTTTTTGTCAATGATTATACAAAAGCATTCCATATCTAAATCCCAATTTACATATCATGCAATTAAATAGAGAAATTATACGTGTCTTCTCAGTGGACAATTATCTATAAATAGCATTCATTCCAATATTTTATTTTCAAGTGACTATTGAAACTACTTAAGCAATAAAGAGCGCTTAACTTGAAGAAAAATTGGGGAGGAAATTTAGAAGGCATTCCTATTTGTTCACTTTTTATTTCTCACTATTATATTTGCCTTTCAATCACACTCATTAAACAAGACAAAAGTATGTTGAATATATTTAAGGAAAAAAAACACCATTCTGTGCTCTGTTAAATGTTATTATTTCTTTATTAAAACTGTATCAGTGTTCCAAAATGTCTTCTAGTCATGGGAATAAATAAAGGCTCGAATTTTCCTTCTCATTTGCATAATTTTATCTGCAATACAGATAAATTTCAGAGAAATCGCTTTACATAAATAAGTAGCTGAATAAATATTTTTTAAGTTGCGTAAATGCTACTCTATTTCTGACTGACGTTCTGCTGTCTTTTCACCAAATATCCTAGAATAGTTAGGAAGGGAATAGTTGACTAATATTAACTGAAGCGCTTAAACTATTTAAGATTGTTATGTTATGTTTCACAGTGTCGGAAGTGGGTGTGTATTGTTATTATGTTTGCTTCAGAAATGATTAACTGTCTAATCTGAATATTTTATGATACTGGGGTAGGTTTCATCATAAAACTGTGTCAAAAACGAATCTTTGAAAGCAAAACAGCACTTGATAGTTGATATCTTCTGCGTTGGAAATTTCCTGTCTCAAAAGAGTAGATTCAACAACTGTTACCCTAGGTGGTATGCCACTGGGTCAGTTGGAGTCTGATTGCCATGCTGCCTAGCTGCAGGAGAGCACTACTGACATTCAAAAAATCGTCTTGGAATTATTTTTCTTAAGTTCGAGCCGGATATTCTGCTCGGAAAGCAAGTAACGATAAAACTCTTTAGCCCGTATCACTAGATCTCTCTGGACGAGGTATTTCATTAGAATTTCGGGAAATCCAGGCTAAAATCTGACACATTTGAAAACAATATTTTGATAATCATGAAAGTTCATTTTATTCCAATTTCATACTGGACTAATTTCAAAACCATACTTTGTAGTAGTAAACATTTTTCCGCCCAACCATTGGGTAGGAATAATTATTTCCGAATAATTCTAGGTCATTGAAATAATTAGCTTTATTTTGTAAACGCGAAAACCATATTTATAGTTCAGAGTCAACAGTGCTGAATAACATGGTCCGGGGTTCGATCCTCGGCCGACTCACTCCTTTACCTCGCTAAGCCAGAAATAATGCTGGTAAAGGGGAAAGGTTGAGCATGAGCCTAGCAACCCCATCCCGTAAAATAAACACTGCTACAGAAACTTCAAGCCACTAGCTTGAAGCTCTATGTTCCACTGGGGAACGTGAAGGAAAATAACAGAACGCTTTGAGTGAATTAGTTACAGACTACTGAATGGATATTAAACCAACCAAGGTGAGACACTTAACTACTGACCGAGTATCTGCTTCGTACCAGTAAATGACTATTCTGATAAGCAGCAACAAATAAGGCTGATCAGCTTAGTTTACTTGAAATTCATCTACTCAGAAATTTGACGCTGAAATTAAATGTTTAGTTAGTCATTCAAAGTATCAAAAGGTCATTACAAAAAATCGAGAAGCATAATTTAACTGATTAATAAGAAACATCTGAAAGTATCACACCAACCAGTCAAGTCTTCTACGTGTTCTATCGATTATCTACATTTAAATAATTTGAGTGAAATTGCAAAGGTCACAGCTCAATGTTGCTTGCTCTGTGAATTATCTACTACTTCAAGTTACCTTTAATAATGACAGCGACTATGAACATAAATGAAAAAAAGATACAATGAGATTGTGACTATTGCAGTAACAATACTGTATGAAAACCCTATAAAAATGATAGTTGCGCAAAAGGTAGTCTAAAATAAACAGACAGTCAAAAGGAAAACAAATATAGCAATTACATATGGAAGCGAGAAATAAAATGTGGGTGAAAAATGTCACTACTGAATTCGTTTTTGTGAGGTCTGACTAACTGACTAACGGCCCACTATAGAACTTTGTATACAGGTACATCACTTAAAGTGATGGAACCATATACGTCCTAGAATGAAGTCACTTAGAAGTCATGGGATGAACTAGGCTGACTCCATTCTATCACAGGTCCAAGAACTGCAATAGAATATTTACAAAAGACTTTCATCCCCAGACGAGTTTGTTCTCAAGGAATGTCAGAGATTTACAAATTACGTCAATCCAGTTGCCAAGAAACAGTTACAATCTGATGTAACCCGGCTCACTAAGTGTCTCAAACCTGTCAAACCTCAGAGAAAATTTCCTGAAGACCCATCAGATTTGTGCTCAACTAGAATTAGTGATGAGCTTTAGAATCAGGGAGACGCTAATTAGTGAACGATTGAATTACCAGTGACTTGCTTAAAGACGGACTTCTAAAATCTCAAGCATCACAACTGCATATCAAAGACAAACCTGAGTCTGGTGTGGAGAAATAAATGGAGTACGATAAATGGTCTTGACTACTTTATTTCCCTGTAACATATAATCACTGTCTACCTAATGTTATAAGACCGAAACCCTTTACCGAAGTCACTTGCAACCTCCATGACCGATAATGTGGGTGTTTAACAATATGCTTGTTATGTTATCATGCAACATGGCTTACAAAAATATTATTGCAGGAGCAATTAATGAGATAAAGGCGTTCACAGAAATGACACAGTTGTTTAAATAATCTATTTATATATTTGATAAACAATAAGCAGGGATTCTTATCATTAAAAACACTTCAAAGTTGTACAGATAGATATACAATGTTCTAAAACGCTTTGAAAATATGGTGTACTGAAGATGACTGCGATTATTATGCTATAGCACATCCACGTTTTCACTTTCTAATATGTGCTAACGCTGTACGTGGTCTATGGCGAACAACGTTGTATTAAGAAGATGTATTGAGAAGATGCACTGCTAACGAAATCGAATTTCAAAATCGCGAGGTGAACGAAAAAGTGAATAACTGCGTTATATATATATATAACGAATAGCAATATTCAGTAATACAATGGACCATATTCAACACGCATAAGTTAAATTAGTTTCTGTAAGCGTATAACATGCGCACATGAAGGCGGCCTGCTTAAATCATTGGGCTACCGAAATTACTTTCCTCCAAAATGCTTAATTTCATCTGGATTTATCATTGTTTAAATCGTCCAGTTATATCACATGATCTATACATAAACTTGCGCGATGATGTAACTTGCTCCCAAGTAAACGCTGTACAATTCTTCAACGAAATGAAGATATACTTCAGATTATCAATTTACTTGTGAATCCTGTGTGAATAAAAAAGTACTTTGGAGCTGAATACGCTGAAAATTTTTGTACCGTATATTCGCATACTGTCTTAAATAAAGCCTCACCATTATTATTATTATTATTATTACTAGTTTTATAAGAGTACAGTTAGGCTTAATATTGGAGTGCTGCAGAAATACAAATAAATGTCAGTTATCAGTATCACACTGGCAATAAAACAAATAAAATCACATGTCAGGAAAGTAGTGAATACAATACAAGACTTAGTTAAGTAGTCTTGCGTAATCTAGGAACACTTAGTGATGAATATCGCTCTGAGATGACTGCCAATAAAAAGTCAAGCGCTTGAAAACAGGAATATTGTTCATGAGAGTAAGAGGATAAGAATATGTATACAGCATATTTTAAAGTTAAGAGTTTGGAAAGAGGAAAGAAAAGGGAAAAATGAACGAATATGGATCATACAGCAAATTATCATGCAAGTAAAAAAGGTTTAAGGGCAAAGTAGTAAAAGGGATTGGACAAACTGCTTATATATACACAGTTCAGGGTTTCCTTTGTGCGCAAAAGATGTGGCGGAAAATTGTTCAGATGACCTTGTCTTACCTTATATATCACATTGAAAGATTCCCCTATTGATGAGGAATGATTTGTAGGAACGAGGTGCTTAAGAACTGAACTATTAATTCTTGTGACTTCTGCTTTCAACAGCTGTACAGGGAGATTTTTTGTGCATGTTCAGAGAATGCCTTACTGATATAGTCTATGTACTTAGCTCCACAAGAGCAAGTAAATCGATATATGGCGTAATTATCTTTTTCCCTCTCAATGTTTTTAGTTTTGATATTTAACAATTTTTCACTTTGTATTCAACCTATGATAGTAGTTTATTTTATCGACTTTTAGCTTACATTGTCCTAATCTCATTTCAACTTCCGTTAACTTATTTAGTAAAATTTACTCACTAAATTTAACTCATTTGTGTTAATTTTAATCCTTCTGCATTCATGTTATCACTAGACTTAATCAACGTATCAATGTCAGTTGAGTTAAATGCACTCTGTGCATAAATGTTCTCTGAAACAATGAACATTTTTATAGATCATAAAAACGACTGATGGCAATCTAGATAATAAATGGTTACACACTCAGCTACAATCGACTCTTATCGGCTTTATACAAGTTTATGGGTAGTAAATGTTACCAGTAAGCATAAATCTCACTTTTGACCTAAAGAAACTGTTGCCGTTTTCGCCCAATTATGGCGTCATTACTGTATGACTTAATCGTTGTGGGCTCCATCCCACAAATGGTAGTAGGTTTATTTCAAAGAGCTGATCCAATTTTCAGTAACTATCTAGCTGTGATGCAATCTACTCCCAAATAAATCAGTTTAATAGAAAG